TATAAAATAAATTAAAAAACTGGTGGTGGAGAAAAAAAAAAGAATGTTGGTTATGAAGAATCAAGTAAATCAATCAACAATCCTTTTAAAAGTTTTAATAAACAAATCAAAGGAAATTTGTCCCGCCAAGGGGGGACCGATGTTCCATATCGACTTCATTTTGGACAACACAAAATTTGGAAAAGAAAAAGAAAAAGGGGAAGATCAATGAGCAATTTAAGATCACCTGTGCTTCAGGTGAACACTAAATATTCGGGAGTCCCGAAATATCGGAAGGGGGCTTTCTGGACCTTTATTAGGAAAAGAGAAAAATAACAGTTTAAAAAAAAAACTGCCATTAGAATGTAGGAATAGGGGGAAAAAATTTTCGGGTTCGTTAAAGAGGTTAAACTATCCTCTGAAAAAAAACTAATTAGGTTTGGATAGGGGTGGAAAATAGTAAACAGTTTAATTTCTCTTTAAAGGGAAACAATTTAGTTGCTATAGAAGTCAAAGGGGAAAAAAAAGAATACTAATATTTAGGGACAATATACCGGCAATTTTTGGGAAAGAGAGCTGGGGTAAATTAAAGTTACAATAAAGATGTACCTAACGACGGGGCTGTCGGGGGAGAAATTTTCGAAGTAGGGTTTTGGGGAAAATTTTGCTTAAAAAAAATATAGGAAAGGGTGAAATGTATTAGATTACCTGTTAACAAAACTGTCTGGGAAAAAAACTTATAGGGTGATGTTTTTGGGTTTCCCTGACACAAAAGATTTTTGGGTTTGGCTAAAAGGTTTTAGTCGGTTTTGCCAATCTGTGTGTAAAGAGTCGAAGAGGTGGGAAATTTCCCAACACAAACCAAAAATTTGGTGGTAAGAGATTGTGTCAATAGATGGGAAAAGGTTTTTAATGTTTGAAAAAAAAAAAGATTAGATTTTAAAAAAAGTTGGGGTAAGGGGGGCGGGAAACTCTGAGACGTAAGCTAAGTTTCAAAATTTGTAGTAAGACAAAAAGAGAGAAACAGTGGGAAGGACATTTTAAAGTTTTGTGGGGGAAAATATGGTAGGATTTAAAAAGGGGAGGGGCAGAGGGGATTGAGAAAGTAGGTTTCTGAAAGATTTGAGGGGATTGATATTTTATTTAAAGTTTCTAGGGAGATCAAGTTTATAGGTGTATTTTGTTAATCAAAAGTTTAAATTTAGAGGTAGAAACTGGGAAAAGGGGGAAAATGGGGGGAAAAAAATAGGATAAATAAGGGCATTAACCTTCATTATTAAAAAAACAGGTAGAAGAATTTAACTCTTTCAACATTGAAGGTATTAAAATCATAAAAATATCGCATTGATTTTAAGGGAACCAAAAACAGCACCAAAATTTTAGGGGGAAAAACTTTTTAGGGTTAGGGTGGGGATTTTTTCTTGTAGAATTTAATTTGGGAGGAAAGTATGGGGTTTCAGGATAGAAGTAGGATGTTGCACCACTCAAAAAAGGGGTTTTTTTGCGTAAGGTTACGATAAAGATCAGGGAGAAAGTGTATTATCTAGTGAAAGAAAAGACTTTTTTCCCGGGTTTAAAAATTATTTGGGTTTAAAGGGGGTTGTTTAATTGTAAGTGATGTTATAATGGGAAGATTTGAGTTGTAAAATTTCCACAGTACAGAGGGGTTAAAAATAAATTTTTACGAGGGCACTCCAAAAGGGGGGAAAAATCGAATAAAGGGGGTTTTGGGAGTTTTCCCCCAAGGGGGAATTAAGGGTTTTTTTTCATCAACTAAATCAACTACTTTAAGGGTAACTTTGGAAGGGAAATGGAAGATGGTAAATAGCAAAGTGGGAAGGTTGGGGAAACAATTTTTTGAAATTAAAAAGGGGGCAGCAGAGGATCAGGGGTTTTTGGTTATTAGAAAAAGGGGTTAAAAAAGAGCAGATAGGGAAACAATATGTTAATTGAAATGGAGAATAGAGATCATCATGGGAATGCATATGGGGTCTTTTGATTTTTTAGAAAAGGGGGGGGGCATCTGACAAATGCTGCTTTTTCCCCTGTTGTGAAAAAGGTAGAGAAGATTAACCATTTTTGTAACAGTGAGGGAAACTTGAGGGTTTATTCGTTGGGGATGCAGCCCAAAAAACGTGTTAGACGGTCGCGCGGCCTCTGGCAGGTGGGGGTAAAAGTATGTTTGTCGACTGTGGATCGGCAAAAGTCATTGACCGTAAAAAATTAGTTGTCAGACCCTAGGGTTAGGTTCTTGGGGGAAGGGAATTACCCTATGGGGAATTTTTAGGGAAAAGGGAAAACAGAAAAAAAACGGAACCCTGAAAAATTCAGGTGAGTATTGAGGGGAAAAAAAAAGTTTGTTTTTGCTCTAAAAAACTATGAGGGAAGGGGAGTTTTTGGGAAATCAGGGTGATTTTGTAGATAAATTGGAAAGATGACTTTAAGGGTTTAGTTGCAAATAAAAGGTTACTTTTTTATATCGGGTAGTAAGAAAGCAGGACTTTGATGGGTTTAAAAATTACTTTTGACTGACAATGGACTATGGGTTTTTTAAAGGTAAGGGGAAATTTTGATAGAGTATTTCTTTTCCCCATGGGGGAAGGATGTTGTTACGGTCAAAAGTTTTGAAGCTTCCAATTTAGGTTTTCCCCCTTTTAAAAGGGGGTACATTTGGAAAAAGCTAAACTTAGGGTTAAAAGGGTGACATACATTTACATTTTTTCATTTGCAACAAGGGGACATGTCATAGTTTAAGCCTTCATTGAAGGGGAAGTTTAAGGGAGAAGGGGGGGCTTCATTCAGGGGTGGTTTTTAAAAATTTTGGGAAAAAATATTGTAATTTAGTTATCCCGTGAGTCCAATAGTTCGTAAAACATGGGGTAAGATCATTATAAGGGTGCATTTGAAAAAGGGTTTTGGTTGCAAGACAATTTGGCCAGTAGGGGCGTGTGGGTCGATTTAGTTTAAACTTTGTAAAAACTGTAGTTTGTACTGCTTTTGAGAAAGTTTGAGATTGAGATAGGTTTGGGGAAGTGGTGCCCGGAGACAAACCTCAGATGCCGGTGTGATGTCCGGATTTTAAAGAAAGGACAGGGGGGGGTCTAGATGGACTACGAATTGGGGTAAAATATCCTTTTTGATTATTTGATATTTTTTTTTATTGTTTCAAGGAAAACATTTTTTTTTTAAAGATTTTTGTATGTTTTGAAACAAGGGGGGGGATAGGGTTAAAGTGATTTAAATATTTTTTGCTCATTTAGTATCATTTTTTAATTTTAGGTGAAATGGGGGGTTAATTTGAAAATGGTTTTTTCAAAGGATACTGTTTTGTCGGTTTTTTCTTTTCATTCCAGAAAACATGTGGGGAACATGTGGAGATTGGAATACTCAAAAAAGACAATATGAGGGGGGAGAGAAAAGGAGGGTGTGGCGATTTCCCCTCATCAAAAAGTCCCTTGGAAAGGAATTACAGGGGGATGAAGTGTAGTGGGCTACTTCCAGTGCTGCTGAAATATAGAATATTTGTGTGTAATACAAATTTTGTTCAAATTTTTAGGTTTGTTTTAGTAGAAATGAGTTTATGTTTTGAAAGCGTGAGATCTTAGATGCTTTTGTTTATTTCGATGGGGTTAGGGACAGAAGGTCTAGGAAGGGGGAGATTCATGGGACGTCGATGGGGGGGACCCCGCGTCAAGGGGTTTTATGGGTAGGATTTTGTTTAAGTGTATTTAAAGGCATAAGTTTTAAATCATTTACTGATTTTTGAGGTTATCGGAGTAACCGACGGTGGTTTCCTGGGGAGAGGGCCGGGATAATTTTTTGTCTTGATTTTATGGATGGATGGCTGCTGGGACAGTTTTTTGCTTCAACTCCAAGGATTTTTCATGGGCATGTAAAGATTTACACTTCAAAACAGGTATTTCATAGAAAGGGGATTTAACTCTAGAGGAGAAGTTTTTTGGGGTTTAAAGGTAAGAATATTTAATGAGATAATGGTTTTAAAAGTCATAATCTTTTTCTGTTTTTTTTTCGAGAAGTTTTATTTTTTCTCGAAAGGGGGGGGAAAATCGTTCTGAAAATTTTGCCTTTGTTAAATTTTTTTTGACGAATGGAAATTTTGGGTTTTTCAGGGCCCAAAAGGGGGGGTTTTTATGATGTTAATTTTAAATGGCCGTTGGGGGGCGGCCGGGGGAGCTGGTGATTGGCCAAAGAAAGGGGGTAGCCCCTCCCCTTTGATTTTTTTAAAAAGGGGGTAACGATGAGATGACAGAACGGCCATATCAATCTGGGAGCCGTTCTCCGGACATCGCGAGTCTGTATCGATGCTGTAGATTCGTGATTTTAATAAAAGCCTCTAACACGATGCAGTATGGCGAACTCTTTGTTGACAGCGATAATTGCCACCATTCATCATATACGACACCTGGCGTTGCAAACGCCATGCTCTACCAACTGAGCTACACGGGTCACACTGGTCATCCCTACTGCGTCTGATCTGGCGGACTCACTAAACACATGCTTCGTTTGTCAATGATGTCTGAGGTTGGAGCATGCACATGGTTATCCTTAAAGTAAAAATGGTGCCATCTGGTTTACTTTAATATAACGAATTTTAAAATTATTTATTTTACTTTTGATTCTTAAGTATATTTTAGCAATTACACTTACTTTCGATACTGAAGTATATTTAAAACCAAATACTTTTAGACTTTTACTCAAGTAGGATTTTACTAGGTGACATTTACTTTTTACTAGGGTGACAGTCATTTTCTATTAAGGTATCTTAAGTATGGACAATTGGGTACTTTTTCCAACCACTGCTCATGGAGTGTTGTCACATTGATTGATGTGGGGTTCATACTTGGCTCATGCCCAATCCCCCCCACATACACACGCACACACAAACATGACGGATCACGATGTTCTTTCTACCGTGTGTACAGCATATAGAGTATAGTTTTCAGGGTGCCATATTATATGTGATCATCGTCTGAACGTGGTCCAGTGGTTCATTTCACCACATGGACAATATAGATAGGGTGCTGCTGTCACCTAGCGGACCTCTGGACCTCTGTCAGGTAGCCTACACACGGTACAGTATTTATTTATGGTAGCCTAGACAGTACACACCCCACATTATCTGCACTTTATGTAAGGGTGTGTGAACTGAAAAGCCTGCCTCATTCATTCAGGATGAATGAATAAATAAACTTCAGTATAAAACATTGGTAAAGGAAGTTAGCCTAGTATCATTGCAATAAGTAGGCTAGGCCTAGGCTACAGCTTTTAGCCTAGGCCTACTTGTGATTACACTTACTATTATAAAAATATTATAGACAGTGCCTATATAATAAGATTAGGCCTATAGGCCTACTGCTCTATGTAGAATAACAATTTAAATAGGGAATACATCTGAAACGACACCCTTTTCCCATTTATAGCCTTGAACGTTAGTCTCTGGCTGCTTGTTGAGAACAAAACAATAATTTCGTATGTAGGCACGGAATTTATCGATGACAGCCCGGTGCCGCGTCTCAACCAGTCGTCATCGCGTTGAATCGTTAAGGGGCGTAACGTTCCAGAACGCGTGCGTAACGTATGTATGCGACCCAGAACGTCCTGCTCCCCGCTGATCTCATCGGTTAATGGACTAAAGAAAGGATGAGGGTTTGAGAAAACACATTTTCGTTACCGAATACCGTGAAGCCAGTGTAATGCGATAGTGAAAAGATATTGTCTCTCTCGCCACGCGCATGGCGCGTTAGGGGAAACTGCAGGCTACAGCTGTCTGTCCGGTCAGCTGTTTTTATTTACCGAGAGACAGCAGCATCACTAGGAGGGCACGAGACCACAGACTAGTCTATACCGGCGCCCCGGACCCCACAGACCAGACCGTCAGGACTAACGTAGAGGACAGAGAGAGGAGGCCAGAGAGAGAGAGAGAGAGGAGGATGGAGTTTAAACAGCTGGTGGAGGTGGCGGAGAAATGGTGTTCGTCGGTTCCGTTCGATCTGATCTTTGCGGAGGAGGATGATGAGAGAAGACTGGACTTCTACGTGGAACCGGGAATCTCCTTCTATGTCCTTTGTCCCGATAACATGACCGGAGGGACCGATAATTTCGTAAGTGTGTGTGTGCGTATGTATGTGTATGTGTTTGTGTATGCGTGTGTGTGGTTGCAGTGTTTTGGGGTTTGCTTTTCGGGTCCCCCCGGCGCAGTGTGTGTGTGTGTGTGTGTGTGCGTGCGCAACGGGAATGATGTCATTGCAGTTTGATTTGGTGCACCGGACTGGCGCGCATGTTGTTTTGGCCGCATTATATGCCGTGACTCGTTTTATCTGCAGACAGCTGTGATAAACCGCATTGAGCTGCTATGGGCATGCCGCCTGTCCTACGCATATAGACACAGGCCTGCAATAGCAGTGCTGTTGTTGTTTTGTTAGAGAAGCGTCCGCTGCTCTCTAGTCCCCACAGTTCGCCTGGCGCGGCGCCCGGCAGTAAATATATTATGTCAGCAGCCGCAGCGGTAGTGGGGCCTAGAAGGACTCATAGCCGTGCATCCCTCCATAGGGAACTGGCAGTAATACCTCATGTTGTATACATTTTCTATGTAAACATGTAATGCACATACAGAGTCACTCAGCTCCTGTATGATGCAGATGTGTTTTTTCATGTAGGCCTAATGCCATCCTCCTTTGGTCTCTCTATTCTGGGAATGTTTACTGCACTAGGTCCCATCCTCCACATCCCCACCATCTCCGCCACTTTCTCTCCCTCCTTCTCTCTCCCCTCTCTGATTCTCTCTCTCACTATCACTCCCTCACACACACACAAAATGTTTTGTTCTTCTATCCTCGTGGGGACCTAAAAAAGTAATCCATTCCGAATCCTATTTTCCCTAAAACCTAACCCTAAACCTTACCACAACCCTAACCTTAACCCTAAACCTAACCACTAACCCTAATTCTAACATTAACCCACACAGTGAATGCACCGGTCCCTCTCGGTCACAGGGGGACACCATTTAGGGTTGGCCAATCCCTGGAGAGCTCATGGGCGTGCCAAGGCTTTAGTTCAGGAGGCTAACATAGTCTTGTGTCACACGGATTCAAACCCCGGTCAGTTATACCTGTGTGATTCCCTCACGTCCATGTCCAGTATCTTGATGTTCAGTGTATGTGTATGTGTGTTTGCGTGCGCATGTATGTGTACGTGTGGAACTACAGCAGTAGTTTTTCCAGTAATACTCCTACTTGATCTCCTGTCCTTGGAGGTGTGTGTTATCTCGCTCTCTAATCTCTGGGTTCTTCTTCTACTGGCTGTACTCTGACCTCATATAAAACTTAGTGTATCTACCCAACATCTACCATTTATATACACTACCAGTCAAAAGTTTTTTACACACCTACTCATTCAAGGATTTTTGTAGAATAATAGTGAAGACATCAAAACTACGAAATAACACATATGGAATCATGTAGTAACCAAAAAAGTGTTAAACAAATCAAAAATATAAATAGCCACCCTTTGCCTTGATGACGGCTTTGCACATTCTTGGCATTCTCTCAACCAGCTTCATGAGGTATTCACCTGGAATGCATTTCAATTAACAGGTGTGCCTTCTTAAAAGTTAATTTGTGGAATTTCTTTCCTTCTTAATGCGTTTGAGCCAATCAGTTGTGTTGTGACAAGGTAGGGGGGTATACAGAAGATAGCTCTATTTGGTAAAAGACCAAGTCCATATTATGGCAAGAACAGCTCAAATAAGCAAAGAGAAAAGACAGTCGATCATTACTTTAAGACATGAAGGTCAGTCAATACGGAACATTTCAAGAACTTTGAACGTTTCTTCAAGTGCAGTCGCAAAAACCATCAAGCACTATGATGAAACTGGCTCTCAAGAGGACCGCGACAGGAATGGAAGACCCAGAGTTACCTCTGCTGCAGGGGATAAGTTCATTAGAGTTACCAGCCTCAGAAATTGCAGCCCAAATAAATGCTTCACAGAGTTCAAGTCACAGACACATCTCAACATCAATTGTTCAGAAGGGACTGCGTGAATCAGGCCTTCATGTTCAAATTGCTGCAAAGAAACCACTACTAAAGGACACCAATAAGAAGAAGAGACCTGATTGGGCCCAGAAACATGAGCAATGGACATTAGACCGGTGAAAATGTGTCCTTTGGTCTGGAGTCCAAATTTTAGATTTTTGGTTCCAACCGCCGTGTCTTTGTGAGATGCGGTGTGGGTGAACGGATGATCTCCGCATGTGTAGTTCCCACCGTAAAGCATGGAGGAGGAGGTGTTATGGTGTGGGGGTGCTTTGCTGGTGACACTGTCTGTGATTTATTTAGAATTCAAGGCACACTTAACCAGCATGGGTACCACAGCATTCTGCAGCAATACGCCATCCCATCTGGTTTGGGCTTAGTGGGACTATCATTTGTTTTTCAACAGGACAATGACCCAACACACCTCCAGGCTGTGTAAGGGCTATTTTACCAAGAAGGAGAGTGATGGAGTGCTGCATCAGATGACCTGGTCTCCACAATCCACCGACCTCAACCCAATTGAGATGGTTTGGGATGAGTCGGACCGCAGAGTGAAGGAAAAGCAGCCAACAAGTGTTCAGCATATGTGGGAACTCCTTCAAGACTGCTGGAAAAGCATTCCAGGTCAAGCTGGTTGAGAGAATGCCAAAAGTGTGCAAAGCTGTCAAGGCAAAGAGTGGCTATTTGAAGAATCTCAAATCTCAAATATATTTTGATTTGTTTAACACTTTTTTGGTTACTACATGATTCCATATGTGTTATGTCATAGTTTTGATGTCTTCACTATTATTCTACAATGTAGGAAATAGTAAAAATAAAGAAAAATCCTTGAATGAGTAGGTTTTTCCAAACTTTTGACTGGTACTGTATACCTTTGACATTAGCACAGTAATACGGTAATAATGTGACAATGTGGCTATATGGGTTATGTTAATAACCTGTGTGTGTGTGTGTGTGTGGTGTGTGTGTGTGTGTGTGTGTGTGTGTGTGTGTGTGTGTGTGTGTGTGTGTGTGTGTGTGTGTGTGTGTGTGTGTGTGTGTGTGTGTGTGTGTGTGTGTGTGTGTGTGTGTGTGTGTGTGTGTGTGTGTGTGTGTCCGTCTACAGCATGTATGGAGTGAGAGTGAGGACTGCCTGCCGTTCCTACAGCTAGCCCAGGACTACATCTCCTCCTGCGGGAAGAAAACTCTGCTAGAGGTCCTGGACAAAGTCTTCACTTCCTTTAGACCTGTAAGTAGCCTAACGCTATAAAATAAAACAACTAGGTGTTCGGTCGTAGCCGGCCGCGACCGGGAGACCCATGGGGCGGCGCACAATTTGCCCAGCGTCGGGGAGGGAATGGCCGGCAGGGATGTAGCTCAGTTGGTAGAGTAATAATAATTGGTCATTTAGCAGACGCTCTTATCCAGAGCGACTTACAGGAGCAATTAGGGTTAAGTGCCTTGCTCAAGGGCACATCGACAGATTTTTCACCTAGTCGGCTCGGGGATTAGAACCAGCGACCTTTCGGTTACTAGCACAACGCTCTTAACCACTAAGCTACCTGCCGCCCCGGTAGAGCATGGCGTTTGCAACGCCAGGGTTGTGGGTTCGATTCCCACGGGAGAAGAAAAAAAAATGAGAAAAAAAATGTATGCACTCACTCTGGATAAGAGCGCCTGCTAAATGACAAACATTTAAAAAATGTAAATGTAACTACACTACTCCTAAAGAATATTACATAACATATAATATATAACATCTCTCTCTCTCTCTAGTTGCTGGGTCTACCAGACATAGATGATGAGACATTTGAGCAGTACCATGCAGGCGTGGAGGACGAACCAGAGCCGGACCACCAGCAGATGGGAGTCAGCCAGCAGTGATGCCTACAGAAGAGGTGTCCGGCTGGGCCACAATAACTACCCACGCCTCTGGTCTCATCCCCTGCATCAATACACAGGCCCAACGACCCTGTAGCGACTATACAAAGTCATAATGTATACTCAGATTCATAATGTACACAGACACACACACACACAGGACAGCCTGCTGAAATGTACCATTGCGTTCTTTAACTTATCAAAAGCTTTGCTCTCCAGATATTGCACTCCTTCTAATGTCACAGACACACACACACACACACGCACACACAGCCATGCCATACAACATGATTATTATTAGCAATCACAACAGACAGTCATGCATACAGTAGGCTACAACATTACTATAGTTACTATTACTAACCACTACCATGCTGGTTCTAGGCTGATAAACACAACACTCTCCAACCCTGCTCAGCATCTCCACCTAAAGACAAACAATCAACTAGTCTAGCACCAACAACTTACTCCCCTCCCTCCCTCCCCAGCCAGGCCACCAAGACGTAGCAGAGCACTGTCACTGTCAACCATGTTACACCTGACTGTAACCATCCACTGTACCACACAATGCTAGCCAAACCAGCACATTGTTGTGACCTTGTAACAATGTTAGCCGTGAAAGTAGAGGGAGGAATAGAGCAGAAATGTAATCCTATGGTAGAAACTGTCCCTTATGTACTGCTGTGAAGTTGGCCAAAAGCTGCTGTATCTGTGTGTTTATTTCATATTGCGTGCGTGTGTGTGTGTGTGTGTGTGTATTTGTGTGTGTTTTGTATGTGTGTCTGTCACCACCATCAGTGCACTGCTACGCTTTTACTATCCCCGCGGACCTCAAGGAGTAGGATGAAGTTGTGTCTAGACACTGATCCAAGGTAATTTTTCCCCCTTATTGGGATTGGGGAAAGTAAACTGTTCCTAGATTTGTTTCTACAGGCAACGTCTACCTGCAGCGGTCTTCCACCTTACTAAACTAGGCCTACACTTCTTACTCTCTCTGAACATGGCAACTACAATACATGGAACTCTCTCTCCGAATGGTTTTAAGTCTTTACTTTGGCTTATGAACATTATTTTTTATTGACATTATTTAACTGAATATCTGTCATGCTAATGTGTGTTTTATGTTCTGTCCTCCAGTGTGTGTGAAGGTATTCTATTAAAAAAAAACGTGTGGAGGGAGCAGTGAGTCTGACTGGGTTTTTGATATGCAAATATAATGTACATATATATATTAAATATGACAATTCTATAACTGCCTGGCTTTTTCTAAACATCTGCTATGTCTATAGCGTAATCTGTGTCCATGCAACTGTTGCTGTTGTTCATGGGCTTGATGTCGCTTGACCTGACTCACACACACACACACACATACACACACACACGCACACACACACACACACTCACACACACACACACACGCATACACACACGCACACACGCACACGCACGCATGCACGCACGCACACACACACACACACACACACACACACACACACACACACACACACACACACACACACACAAACACACAGGAGGAGGAAGGCATTAGGGCAATCCTTTTGCATGGCCTGGTGCCCCAGGTGGGTGGAGTTTCTGCATTTTAGACCATTCCATTGGTCTTTAAGCTAAATCTCGACTCAACCGGGGGATCGGGCCATTCAAAACCAACTCGACCATTGATTGCTTCGCTCCTATTAACAATCACAGTCAGCAGACTAGACTACAGCAGAGCAGATATAGATCATAGTGATGCCGCTTTCGTTTCGACAGTCAGTCGTCGAGAAACATCGAGAAAGTGCATACATATTCACTAAAGTAGTAGGACCTACTGTCGCGGTGTAAGAGTTATTGTGCGGCAAACCTACCATTATCATAGCGGATGGAATATTGGAATAATGCCGCGACGCACCAATAAACTTCGATATGGAGAATGAAGCGAGTTGGCAGTAAATTCTGTCCGTCGAGAATCAGTCCGTAATTATATTGGAGCTTACTTTTGACTTTTCAAACCACTTTTATTTCTTTGGCTGTTCTCTTTGTTTTGGCTGTTAACCCAACTGCTGGACTGGACACTGTCCTTCGCTCTCTGTCTCTCTTGTAACATCGAGTTTCAGCGTTTTTTCTAGGCTATTTATGGTTTATTTGAATAGTGACATGATATATACAATAAACAATTATCTGAAGCTTTGCACATTGTGTATGGCCATTTTCAACACCTGTCCCTGATGGGCTTTTGAAAGGCTTCATGAGATTGAAGAGCACTTTCTAGGACTGTTCAGTTTTATAGACCTTATAGGACTTTGGGAAGTTAGAATAGGACAGGAGCCACCATGGGTGTCAGGCAGAGTAGCGCTGTGGCTCAGAGTCGAACCCGGGCGTATTCTAGCCCTGTTGAACCCTCTGAAAGCAGCACTACCCCAGAGTTCAGATACACAGCCGGGCCTGATGGCCCCCGAATTCACTACCTCGGAGGGACCCGACCCAGCTCCTACCACCAGGTGTGTGTAATGGAAGTGGTTTGGAACCATACTTGCATGATGAGTAACTGCCTGACACCTGAAGATTTGTGTTAGCTCCCCAAGCCAATGCCAAAGCTTTAGTTCAGGAGGCCAACACAGTGTTGTGGCAAACGGGTTAAAACCCTGGTCAGTTATGCCTGTGTGATTCACTCACGTCCATGTCCAGTATCTTGACATTCAGTGTGTGTGTGTGTGTCCACCAGACGGGGATGAGTATACCCCATGGTGGCCAGAGCAGATCTGAGGTGTTAAGTAGCAGTCTGGACCTGGCGGAGACAGATGGAGACGGGGAGAGAGGAGGAGAACACCGGCTGATGATTGGCTCTCTACCACTTCACCTGTCCCCTCACCTACTGGGAGGTAGGCTAAAGTGTGTGTGTGTGTGTTTTCCTGGTCCTGACTGTCTACATTAGGGTTTCCTGATGTGTGTTCCCGCCTGGATGCATGTTTTGGTTTTTGCGCTAGCATTACACAGCTGATTCAAATAATCCAAGCTTGATGATGAGTTGGTTATTTGAATCAGCTGTGTAGTGCTAGGGGAAAACCAAAACGTGCACCCAGAGGGGGCCCCAGGACCGAGTTTGGGAAACCCTGGTCTACATGATATCTTATTCCACAACAAGGAAACTGTGTGTTGTTCTAAACCCTGTCACAGGGAGAAAGCACATAGATGACAAATGTGCTTTCTCCCTGTGAAATACATTGTGGGGCGAGAGGAGCACATTTAGGCCACAGATAAGCACGTACTTCCTTCATGGCACGTGTCTCATACACACACACACAAACACACAAACAAATATAGGTTTTGTACTGGAGAGTGAGTGTCTATCAGTCTGTAACTTATTAAACTTTTCTTAAGGAACCATGAATGTCATCATGATCATGAATTGACCTTTGGTCATTATGCAGAGACATGACCACAACATGGTTGACCTATTTATACACACACACACACTCTAAGTTTGTGGCGAGACCGAGAAAAAGGGCTGGTTGGATGGAGTGTGTGTGTGCTGATATGTCCTGCTCTATTTTCCCAAGGCTTTCTCTGTCCTGTGTGCAGTACGTTTGTGGCATCAGATGTGATGGAGATCCATCTGATCATGTGTCTCACCAAATCACGACTCCGCTACAACGGTGAGTGTGTGATTGTGTGTGTGTTAGTTTGCCTGTCTGGCCTGCTGGTTCAGGATGCCTTCTGATTGGCTAGCATGGTATGTCAGGATGATGATGATTGATTTGTTTGTGTTGTGTCCCAGAGGACGTTCTGGCGAAAGATAGTGGGGAGTGTGCCATCTGTCTAGATGAGATGGAGCAGGGAGACACCATCTCTAGACTCCCCTGTCTCTGTATATATCACAAAGGGTAACTACGCACACACACACACCTACCTGACTACAGTAAGATGCTGTTACTTTACTCGTAGTCCCCCTCGCTCTCTCTCTCTCTCTCTCTCTTTCTCTCAGGTGTATAGATGAGTGGTTTGAGGTGAATCGTTCGTGTCCAGAGCACCCCTTGGACTAAGGGCTCAGATACCCACAGCATGTCTACCATCTATCTACTTCATCCACGTCGTCATGACATGCTGACCTATGAATCTACTTAATCTAGATCTACGTCTGACCTGCTGGTCTGTGAATCTACTTGACCTATATCTACGTCTGACCAGTGACACAAGCCTGTGAAGTTTAGCCTACTGTTTTGTAGGTCTGGGAATTGCCAGGAACCTCACGATACGAAATTATCACAATACTTACATGTCTTTTTTTGGGGGGTTGAGTCATTTAGCACAGTGGTTCCCGGGGGGGCGTGGGGGTCTCAGTCCGGCTTTAAACTTACTCTTGAAAGTTGTAATAATAGAATGCACAAGGTGCAATTAAGAAATTGGGTAGTGCATCATCAGTTCCTCTGTCATGTTAGTCATTGCATACAGTACCAGTCAAAGGTTTGGACACACCTACTCATTCAAGGGTTTTTCTTTATTTTTTACTATTTTCTACATTGTAGAATAATAGTAAAGACATCAAAAATATGAAATAACGCATATGGAACCAAAAAAAAGTTAAACAAATCAGAATATATTTCATATTTGAGATTCTTCAAATAGCCACCCTTTGCCTTGATGACAGCTTTGCACACTCTTGGCATTCTCTCAACCAGCTTCACCTGGAATGCTTTTCCAACAGTCTTGAAGGAGTTCCCACATATGCTGAGCACTTGTTGGCTGCTTTTCCTTCACTATGCTGTCCGACTCATCCCAAACCATCTCAATTGGGTTGAGGTCGGGGGATTGTGGAGGCCAGGTCATCTGATGCAGCACTCCATCACTCTCCTTCTTGGTAAATATCCCTTACACAGCCTGGAGGTGTGTTGGGTCATTGTCCTGTTGAAAATCAAACGATAGTCCCACTAAGCCCAAACCAGATGGGATGGCATATCGCTGCAGAATGCTGTGGTAGCCATGCCGGTTAAGTATGCCTTGAATTCTAAATAAATCACAGACCGTGTCACCAGCAAAGCACCCCCACACCATAACACCTCCTCCTCCATGCTTTACGGTGGGAACTACACATGCGGAGATCATCCATTCACCCAAACCGCGTCTCACAAAGACACGGCGGCTGGAACCAAAAATCTCCAATTTGGACTCCAGACCAAAAGACACATTTCTACCAGCAATTCGAACATGAAGGCCTGATTCACACAGTCCCCTCTGAATAGTTGACGTTGAGAGGTGTCTGTGACTTGAACTCGGTGAAGCATTTATTTGGGCTGCCATTTCTGAGGCTGGTAACTAATGAACTTATCCTCTGCAGCAGAGGTAACTCTGGTTCTTCCATTCCTGTGGCAGTCCTCATGAGAGCCAGTTTCATCATAGCGCTTGATGGTTTTTGCGACTGCACTTGAAGAAACTTTCAAAGTTCTTGAAATGTTCCGTATTGACTGACCTTCATGTCTTAAAGCAATGATGGACTGTCATTTCTCTTTGCTTATTTGAGCTGTTCTTGCCATAATATGGCATAGACTTCAAGTGTGGAGAACGGGCCAGGACCCAGTTTTGGGTCTTCTGAGAGTGTTGGTGTGGGCGGACTGCTAAAACAGTTCTGGTGCCCGACAGCACAGTCGATGACGTGGCACGCAACCATTGGTTGAAGCATGCAACGTCTGAGCAGGGTAGTGATTGGTTGAAGCATGCAATGTCTGAGCAGGGTAGCGTGACCATCACCTCCAGCGACCTAATCCTCTCAGATCTACACCAGCTTAGTGGGTAGGGGTACATTTGGGATGGGGATGGGGGGGAGCATATGTTCATTGCTTTTGTATTACAGTATGTCAATGTAATAATGAGTTTGTTGATCATCAGCTGTACTGCTGCAGAGTGAGGGAATGGAGAAGATGTTAAGTGCTGTGACTGAAACATGCTGCTAATTTTGAGTCTCAATTACACACATTTATGTCAATTATGAAATCACATCTTCTGTTGACCTTCTGTTGATTCATTGCTTTTTTCTGTGGTTGTGTAAAATCAATTAAAAAAGGTAGCATACAGCAAAAAAAATGTACGTTTGATTTAAAACACCTTTTATTTACTCAAGCATCTTTGTGATATGTATATTTTGCACAAGTTTATTTGTTGAATTAAGTCAAAACTAAAGCACAAATCAACTCCAGAATCTGTACTGTGACACTATGGTGATAATTCTGTATATACATAGTTGTATGTTCAACGTCATTAATGACTACAAAATCACTTTGTTGAAAAGACAATTGTACCAGATACAGTTTAGGGAGCAGAGATCCTTCAGAGGTTTAAGAAACAATGACAACAATTTACATCAAATCAATTGATTTCAGAAGTAACTGATTTCATGCAGTATACGTCTATTAAATACATTACAATGTCTCCCATTTCTCCAAAGGCCCCATTGCATTTCAATTGAACCATTCATCATCAAATCTCTCCAAAGCCACATCACATGCATATCAGTCTTTATGATGTCTGTCTGTGTGTTTGTCCGAAAAGGCACCCTATATAGTGCACTTCTTTTGACCAGAGCCCAATAGTGTGTCATTTCAGACGCACTCTGGCTTCGTTTACACAGGCAGCCCAATTCTGATATTTTTTCCACTAGTTGGTCTTTTGACCAATCACATCAGATCTTTTCACATCAAATATCTTTTCAGAGCTGATCTGATTGGTCAAAATACCAAATCAAAAGACCAATTAGTGGAAAAAAATATCAGAATTACTTAATGACCTGTGAGATCTGGTCCAGGATAGAAGGGCCGCTGTAGTTGTTGGTCTGAACCTCCTCTAGTCTCCTCACGTACTGCACTGGTAGACCGTTCTGCTGGGCTCCTAAACACACCACCTACACACACACATACACGTTATTTCCTTTCACTTGCTTGTACTGCTTGGAGGGGGGCAGGTTTGTGTGTGTACCGGTTTGTATTGTGGTGAGGGAAAACAGGCGTGTGTGTCCAATGTGTGTGTACCTGTTTGTATTGTGGCGAGGGGGGACAGGCGTGGAAGCGGTTCATCTGGTATGTTCTACAGAGTAGTGCCCCATCATCCGTCTCCACTGTCACCTCTAGGGGGAAGTACATACCCCTGTCCACCCCCTCCTGCCTACACGTACGCACACACACACACAAAATTGAGAGATGAGATGAAGTACAGGCTGGACCATAGAATGTACGTTGCCATCAGATGACTCACTGATGTGTGTGTGACTCACTGGTCCAGGCTGGCTAGGTGGTCGTTGCTCATCCGCCAGACCACCCCCCACACCTCTCCCCCCTCTTTCTGCTCGATGGTTGCTACTCCGCCATGCCAACGGTTGTCAATGTGCTCCCCCCACAGACCAAAGTTCAATGTGTAGTCCTGCTGGGGAGGTTTGGGGGAGGAGAGATGGGAAAGAGAAAGCTAGACCCTGTTAGAATACTATGACAATGCATTTTTGGATGTGTCACATAGCCTACTGTGTGACCCCAGTGACAGACACCTTTTTGCTGTGTAAGTGAGGACAATAGTATTCATTTTCTATTCGAGGTCATTCTATTCTTTATATAGACTGGAGGAAATTAATGTGCTCCATGTAATTCAACTCCTAGCGCCGAGAACCCTAGGGCGTAGAATTATAGCGTTATCATGCGGCCGGTTGGGCTATTGAATGCCATGAAAGAACGCTGTGTTACTTGTTGGTTATCTCCTACTAGCTACATCAGAAGAGTCCGAAAAATCCAAACTAAACGTAGTTTGCCTACTGGGGGCGCTGCGGACCTGATTACCTTCAGTCGACCGGTGCAATGAAATATAGCCGAGGGGTTCGCCAGCTGGAGTCTCTCCTTCAACAAGTTGCTTCCAAAAGCAAAATAAATGAAGTGATCTGCTGTTGCTGACATGTTAACTAAGCCAAACCTTGTGATAGGAGCCAAGTTACCAACCAGGTTCATACGAGAATGTCAGCCTTTAAATTATATAAAAAGATCACCGGTTAAAATAAAAGTGAAATAAATAGCGATATAATTAATCATGTACATGTTAGCTACAGCTCATCATTGCTCATACAGTCGGCTTTCTTCCGGGTACAGTGTGTCCGGCTCATCTCATTGGCTAGCAGGGGCTCAACCCGTTAAAGACACAGTGCATGATGAGTGTTCATGTGTACTGTAAAGACGTTCTTAAATATTGCGTACTTAATATCCGAGTCTAAATCGGTTAGTTTTGAGCAGTACTCAAAAAGACCGTCAAACTGAACAAAACCGTTTTAATGCATATATTTTTTTTATTATCACTTAGCTAGTCATATGACATCCCTTTCTAACATGCCGACTAGACCGGGCGCCATCGCGCGCATGTTCATTTTGTCCATCCACAACAGACGCGATCAGGACACGCAGGTTGAAATATCAAAACAAACTCTGAACCAACTATATTAATTTGGGGACTAGTCGAAAAGCATTAAACATGAATGGCAATTTAGCTAGCTAGCTAATTTGTCCTGGGATATAAACATTGGGTTGTTATTTTACCTGAAATGCACAAGGTCCTCTACTCCGACAATTAATCCACACATAAAAGGGTTAATCTAGTTAGTTTCTAGTAATCTCTCCGCCTTCAGTCTTCTTCGAACTTTATATGGTGGTTGGCAACCAATTTTAAGGTGCATTACCACCACCAACTGGACTGGAGTGTGGACCTCAGCTCATATTTCAATCACCCACGTGGGTATATGCTCCTAAAAACCAATCAGAATATGGGAGAGGCGGGACTTGCAACACGTCAAGGGTCACAAATAGAACCAAGTTCTATTTTAGCGCCCGTACGCAGACGCTTGTTGACGCACACGAGCAGTTTGATGCAATTATTGTAAACGTGTGTGTAAATGTACGTTCCGCGAGCGGTGTGGTCAGCATGTGAGCCTCAAGCCACCGTTCATTTTACACCTGTGATTTTTTTCAGAACAGTGCAACGTTTCCACATACAGTCGATCATAATATGACAGAGAATCATGTTATCACTGTAGTGTGTCGTTCCAAAAAACTCAGCCTGTGTTTAATTCAATCCCAAGGTGATCCTTTGACATTTTACAGTTTTTTTGTATACAATAATCGTTAAAGTTTTTCACATTTTACAATCATAATAGGCTAGATCATATAAATACAATTCAGCTTTCAGGTCAATACATGGGTTATTATTACATAACATGGTTTACAGATTTAAGTGTCCATAGACGTTTTTGTAGGCCTTTTTTTTTAGTTGCATTTGTTTAAAAATAGTGTTTCAGGGGACAAAAAGTAGTTTTATAGTCCTAATACATCTTGTCTTCCAAATCATATTGTTCATCGTAATTCTTTAGTTGGTTTGACATCTTACCACACTGGGGCATTATTCACCTGTGGTACTACTGCTGCGTTACCAGTGGTGGATATATGGTAAACGTGTTGATGCACAAACAACCAAATGTACATTTAATGTCGCTAAAACATTTATTTATAGGGTGAAAAATCCAGTCAGCCCACCAATAAATGCATAATACCTGATAGATGTTCAGTTAGCTACAGTTCTAACTAGTGATGAGCATTCCGAGTTCAGTGAGCTGGATCATGTGGCTCCATTCAGCAAAAAGAGCTGTTAATTTGGCTCCGAACCGGCTCTTCGTTCAGTAGTGCCTAAAGCCATGATTGTTTTGTGTGCAAATATCTAACGTAAAGCCTAAAAAGTTGCCTGCCATTAGGTCAGATCGTGATAGGCGTTCAAACTTTTATTTTATTTAATTGCACTGTAAAAATGCATGTGGACCAGAATGAGGCTCCCTCCTCACCATCTATTGTTCCTGCAGTGAGGAATTACTATCTTCAGAGAATGTTTTAAGAACTTATCTACAGATAATCGTTGTCTGGAGCTCAAAAAGCAGTAGTAACAGTATGCAAATCAGTGAGTCAAATGACAGCTCTTTCACATGTTCAACAAAAACATCTGTTCTAAAGAGAGGCGTTAGTTTGCAAACAACCAATCACTGCTAACAACTGGACCAACTACACATGCACAATTGCACATCAACCAAGGCAAGTATGACAATAAAGCACTCAAGACACTTCTCTGCCATGTGGAACATCTTTAACATACAAAATAAGAAACAAAAACCAGGCTCGGGATTCACAAAAGTTTCCTCCGAAAAATTACAACAAAACAAAGACGTTGCTGTACAAACAGTAGGACATGACTGACAGCCGTGTAGTCATGGCGATCATCTCCTGGGCCCTCCCCTGCCTCGGCCCCTCCCCCTGCCACGCCCTCTGCCTCTGCCCCTTCCACGCCCAGCCACTGGAGAGAGAAATGGAGGGAGGAGAGGGAAAGAGAAATGGAGGGAGGAGAGGGAGGGAGGAGAGGGAGGGAGGAGAGGGAGATAACAGAATAATATTTTTTAGAGATGAGTTATGCACCACAAATACTTTGACTCTCCCATTCTTGTCCTCAGGTCTTGTTTGTCAAGCTCATTGTTGGGAGTCGTTTCTTACGGAACAGCGTTTGCCTAATATCAGGTTAGGCTGATTTGCTAGTTTTAATTTAGGTCTGATTAAGCAAATCTTCAAAGGTGATACCGCAGTCATCAGAAGCTAGGCATTATAAATGCTATGCAACTCACCCAACTAACTCAGACAGAACTACTGTGGATTTATGAAACCTCTAACCAGTGTGGCTACGAAACAGTTCACAACCTCCAACTTTCAATATGGCTGCTGTGGCGTGCCACCCCACATTCTAGTACACGATTACTCAACCTAGTCACAACTTTACAAAACGAGTAGTTCAATAGACTGCTGGTATTTGCTCATGGTCCTGAACAGCTATAGTGTGTTTTAGTTCCAGCCAAGCGATAGAACATCTCACTGAATTCATCAAAAAGTATTTGGCTAGCCAACTCTGCTATGTTGGTTCTGGGCTGGCACAAAAGCCTACACACCCTACAGCTCTCCAGGATCAGGAGTGAACAGCACTGATCTAGGCAGCCTTAGGTTGAATCTCAAAAGTATTTCCTCGATTCATAGCGTCCTCTCGCATTGCCTCCTCAAAATGCCAGAGGGAAGAGGAGAGCATTGGAAAATAACCTCTGATATTCGACTGATATGCTAACCAGCCCCACACCCTCATCCCCCTATCCTATCTTCATAGTGTACTCACCAGCCGCTCTCTTCTTGGACTTGACTTTGGGTTATGTCCATCTCCCTCCCCACCATCTCTCTATGTCCATCCCTTGCTCTCAGTCCCCATCCCGCTCTCCCCTGTGTACTCACCAGCTTCTCTCTTCTTGGACTTGACTTTGGGTTCTATGTCGACCAGCAGGGTGTCCAGCGGCAGGCTGTCCGGCAGGATGAAGTATCTGATGTTGTTCCCACGGATACTGAGGCTCTCCAGCTGGGTGGGCTCACGGTTCTTCAGAGTCATCTTCACCGCCTTCAGGTGAGTGTTCATACTCACATCCACACCTGGGACACACAGTTAATGACCATTGTTAATATTCAATGCAACATTTACATTATCCCACCCCTGGTTAGCCACTATTGGCTTAAAAAGCCAAACCTAACAATATCTGCCAATTAATTTCCAGCAATATTGTCCATCTGTCTGTGTGGTGTGATACCAGTCTTGTGGGTTGACAGAAATACTTTCTCCAAAACCTTCTCAATTAAATGTTAACTCCAAAGTAGGCTTACCTGGCAGAAGTATATCATGAGGAAGTATATCATTTGTATCTATTATTTGCAAACTTTGCCATGAAATCAGCAGCAACAGTACAGAACCATCACTAGACGGCACATTCCTCACTCCTAGATGTGCAATTAAGAAATGGCCAGATGTGCAGTTAAAGGGAAATTACAAAAACAAATCTAAATGTGTTAGTTTTCTTCCAGACCAAAATTAAATACATAAATAAATAAAAAGGTATTTGATGTGATTTAAGCATTGACATGACTCAGAACATCCAATTGCATTGTTACTCTACGAACAATTGTTATTTTGAGAGTGAAAAACAAAAAGAATAAAACCAGGAAAAATAAAAACTGAGAAAGATAATTGGGGGGGGTTCACAGATTTTATAGGGCCCACTTAGAGTTGTTTATTAACCATTATTTTACCAGGTATATTGGCAGAAAACAGTGCACTACTTTCTCTTTCACACTAAGGACCTGGGGAAGAGTTGCAGGGGAGAGGAGAAGAATGTGCCTACTTAATGGCTAGGGAAAAGATTTAGCAGCATGTGACATGCCAGAAAAGGTTGGAGATCCCTGGTTTAGACTGTGCCTGCTACAACACCCTATACTTGACTTTGTCTTTCTTTATCCACTGCTCAAACAAATAAAGGGAACACTTAAACAACACATCCTAGATCTGAATGAATGAAATCATCTTATTAAATACTTTTTTCTTTACATAGTTGAATGTGCTGACAACAAAATCACACAAAAATGATCAATGGAAATCAAATGTATCAACCCATGGAGGTCTGGATTTGGAGTCACCCTCAAAATTAAAGTGGAAAACCACACTACAGGCTGATCCAACTTTGATGTAATGTCCTTCAAACAAGTCAAAATGAGGCACAGTAGTGTGTGTGGCCTCCACGTGCCTGTATGACCTCCCTACAACGCCTGGGCATGCTCCTGATGAGGTGGCGGATGGTCTCCTGAGGGATCTCCTCCCAGACCTGGACTAAAGCATCCGCCAACTCCTGGACAGTCTGTGGTGCAACGTGGCGTTGGTGGATGGAGCGAGACATGATGTCCCAGGTGTGCTCAATTGGATTCAGGTCTGGGGAACGGGCGGGCCAGTCCATAGCATCAATGCCTTCCTCTTGCAGGAACTGCTGACACACTCCAGCCACATGAGGTCTAGCATTGTCTTGCATTAGGAGGAACCCAGGGCCAACCGCACCAGCATATGGTCTCACAAGGGGTCTGAGGATCTCATCTCGGTACCTAATGGCAGTCAGGCTACCTCTGGCGAGCACATGGAGGGCTGTGCGGACCCCCAAAGAAATGCCACCCCCCACCATGACTGACCCACCGCCAAACCGGTCATGCTGGAGGATGTTGCAGGCAGCAGAACGTTCTCCACGGCGTCTCCAAACTCTGTCACGTCTGTCACATGTGCTCAGTGTGAACCTGCTTTCATCTGTGAAGAGCACAGGGCGCCAGTGGCGAATTTGCCAATCTTGGTGTTCTCTGGCAAATGCCAAAACGTCCTGCACGGTGTTGGGCTGTAAGCACAACCCCCACCTGTGGACGTCGGGCCCTCATACCACCCTCATGGAGTCCGTTTCTGACCGTTTGAGCAGACACATGCACATTTGTGGCCTGCTGGAGGTCATTTTGCAGTGCTCCTCCTTGCACAAAGGCGGAGGTAGCGGTCCTGCTGCTGGGTTGTTGCCCTCCTACGGCCTCCTCCACGTCTCCTGATGTACTGGCCTGTCTCCTGGTAGCGCCTCCATGCTCTGGACACTATGCTGACAGACACAGCAAACCTTCTTGCCACAGCTCGCATTGATGTGCCATCCTGGATGAGCTGCACTCCCTGAGCCACTTGTGTGGGTTGTAGACTCCGTCTCATGCTACCACTAGAGTGAAAGCACCGCCAGCATTCAAAAGTGACCAAAACATCAGCCAGGAAGCATAGGAACTGAGAAGTGGTCTGTGGTCACCACCTGCAGAACCACTTCTTTATTGGGGGTGTCTTGCTAATTGCCTATAATTTCCACCTGTTGTCTCTTCCATTTGCACAACAGCATGTGAAATGTATTGTCAATCAGTGTTGCTTCCTAAGTGGACAGTTTGATTTCACAGAAGTGTGATTGACTTGGAGTTACATTGTGTTGTTTAAGTGTTCCATTTATTTTTTTTGAGCAGTGTATTTGGAGGCATCTTAATAATCCTCCTCCTAAGTGAAGGTGTAGCCATTATTCAGCCAGACAGAGGAGGCAGGGTCTATACCTGTGATAGTTCCATGGACCTGGGTTCCATTCTTCAGCTCTATTGTCACAGTCTCGTGGCTGAGTTTCATCAAAAAGCTACAGGAGGAGAAAGGTCATGGGTATTAGAGGCAATGTTATAAGAAATTGTGTTTATTAAGTCTGTGAATACATACTAGCTTTCTAGTCAGCCGCGTCTTCAAGGCCCTGTAAACAATCTCGACACAGACGACTTCATTAGACAATGGGGCGGTAACTAGTAAGAACTACCTAGTTTGAGGTGTGCAATGTCCAAAACAAACTAAAATGACAAACACAAACCTGAAGACTTGTCATGGAGGCTGAATTTAGACAAGAGCACAAAATTGTTTTGAACCATTGGTTGTTGTGGGTAATCTGCCAGGGCCCTGCCTGCACACTGAAGTGGTTTATTAACTAAAAGCAAGTTAGCATATCGGTGGCTAGTAAATAAGTGGTGCATACAAAGTAACTAGTTAACGTTAGTTCTCAGCGGCAGATATGTAATTAATCGATGTTTATGGTGTATTTCCACGGCTAGAGGTCCGTTCATTAACGTTATAGAAAGCAAAGAATAACTTAGTTAACTAGTCACTTCTGCACGTCGCTCATTCATTCATTCATTTCAGCTAGCTGCTTCCCGCCTCAGAATTTAGCGAACAGCTCGCACTCCAAATCTAAATCCATCCTGCGACTCAAAATCCATATTTTTCACCTTTAATCGAAGCATAAGACTAAAGATGATTTTTAAAAAATATTCTTACCGTACGAGTTTCATGTTGGTGATGGATTGCAGAGACAAAACCTCCACCAAAGACAAAAAAATTACAGCCTACGAGTGCACAGGCCGCTGTGTATAAAATACGTTTTCGTCGCAGGAACACCGGCGTCATAAAAACACGCTACAGAACCAGGAAACGCAAAAAGAAAACATCACGAACGCTCTTCTTCTTCTGTGGATTTTATATGGCAGTTGGCAACCAACTTTAAGGTGCATTACCACCACCAACTGGACTGGAGTGTGGACCAGAGACAGTGAAGGTCTAAATCCTACCCAATAATCTCGTCTCCCTAAGGAAATGAAATACAAAGTTAAATACTACATCCCCTGAAGATTTCCCCAGCAGTCCACTGAAATACAACATGTTTCACTGTCTCCATCTCCTCCTGACAATGATCATACCTCCCAGTCGGATGTACTATTTACATTTACATAATTTAACAGACGCTCTTATCCAGAGGGACTTACAAATTGGTGCATTCAATTTATGATAGCCAGTGGGACAACCACTTTTTTGTATTTATTTTTTATGGGGGGGGTGGGGGGAGGGAGGGGTAGAAGGATTACTTTTATACTATTCCAGGTATTCCTTAAAGAGGTAGGGTTTCAAGTGTCTCCGGAAGGTGGTCAGTGACTCCACTGTCCTGGCGTCGTGGGGGAGCTTGTTCCACCATTGGGGTGCCAGAGCAGCGAATAGCTTTGACTGGGCTGAGCGGGAACTGTGCTTCCGTAGAGGTAGGGGGGCTAGCAGGCCAGAGGTGGATGAACGTAGTGCCCTCGTTTGGGTGTAGGGTCTGATCAGAGCCTGAAGATAAGGAGGTGCCGTTCCCCTCACAGCTCCGTAGGCAAGCACCATGGTCTTGTAATAGATGCGAGCCTCAACTGGAAGCCAGTGGAGTGTGCGGAGGAGCGGGGTGACATGAGAGAACTTGGGAAGGTTGAACACCAGACGGGCTGCAGCGTTCTGGATAAGTTGTAGGGGTTTAATGGCACAGGCAGGGAGCCCAGCCAACAGCGAGTTGCAGTAATCCAGACGGGAGATGACAAGTGCCTGGATTAGGACCTGTGCCGCTTTCTGTGTAAGGTAGGGTCGTACTCTGCGAATGTTGTAGAGCATGAACCTACAGGATCGGGTCACCGCTTTGATGTTAGCGGAGAACGACAAGGTGTTGTCCAGGGTCACGCCAAGGTTCTTTGCACTCTGGGAGGAGGACACAATGGAGTTGTCAACCGTGATGGCGAGATCATGGAGCGGGCAGTCCTTCTCCGGGAGGAAGAGCAGCTCCGTCTTGCCAAGGTTCAGCTTGTGTGTCCCAGTCTCAGCCTTGTGACTACACTTTCCTCCCTTCTCTCTAGGCCTGAGGACCTCCCTGCCCCCACCTTTTCCTGGATCTTATACAGGTGTCTTTCCTTGCTCTCCCTATTCCAAAACTCTTGCCACATATTTTTAACCACTGTTCTTATTAATCCCTTGGCTTCTGCTTTACTGATTGACAATTCTATCTCAACAATAGGATGTTTAAGAGCCTGCTTGGCAATAATATCCACTTCCTCATTCCCCTCTACTCCCACATGAGCTGGTACCCAGAGGAAGATAACAAATATCCCCATCTGTTTCACCCTATACAAGCACTGCAAAACCTCCTACAATACATCCTGTCTGCTCTGAGACACGACTACAGAGCAGATGACTACCCTGTCTGGCCACACCTCCTCCACCCACTCTGCAGCCAATAGTATGGCCAACAACTCCATTGTGTAAACAGATAAATGATCCGTTGCTCTTTTCGTCACTGCCCCCTTAAACTCAGGAACACTAAATGCTGCTCCTGTCCTCCCTGTTTTAGGGTCCTTAGACCCATCTGTGAATATATTCAAGAAAGCATAGTATTGTGTTCTTAAATGTTCACTTACAACTGAATCTACTCCTTCCTCAATATATCTTACCCTCTCAAGCAACCCTAGAACATCAGTGATCAACCAAAGATAAAAAATAAAAATACAAGTTATAGAAATCTTTGGAACAACATTGCCCTCTAGTGTTTGATAGAAAATCACAGAAATGCAAGACAGTAAAGATTCAGTTGATGTATGGTGAGACCCTTTGACAGAAGTACTAGCATTCCTTTGTTAATGAGCGATTGTGTTGGTGCACCTTCCTTTATCGATAATGTTGTTTGATGAGGTTGTCCAACTCCCTTGTTGATTTTTTTTTTACTGTAGCATAGTGACAAAATATGTAGTCAATATCATTGAAAGAAAAGCAAACTGAAAGAAATGTTGTTGTTTTTTTGTATCTTTTTTTTATTGAGAGTAAACTTTTTACTAATACTTTCACTCCTTGGCCACATATCGAACGTCACTGTCTTTAATATGGACTGGGAATGTATCAAGTATCACCTATGAAAGTGCAAATAACATCAAGGTTTATGGTTGCCAGGGTACAGTAATATAAAAATCAGATGCCTGGGTTACAAAATATGACACAGCCACCTGCCTTGAAACTTTAAATTAAGTACCAAGAAAATACAAAACAAAGAAAATGAAAAAATGAAATAAAAACCTTAGTGTGAACAAAATTGGGCTAAATAAACAATTATCTTAACTTAAAACAGTGGTGTTGTACAAAAGAAATAGACTCCAAATCCAGACTCCAGTGATCCATTTCATGTTTTGTATGATCAGATCTGTCACATCACACCCTACTATAAACTAGTGCACTACTCCAGATGGTTGCACACTACACCCTACACCCTATACCCAACAGTTAAGTTAAACCATGGTTGCATTTCTAAATGTTATTCTAAATCCAATGACTACTTTTATTAAGTAGCTTATTACAATTAAATAAGATAAATATATATTATAAACTCTTGTAGACTGCAAATTAATCTCTATAAAGTTGACTATATTATAATCATCCTACAGTGCTAACCATCTCTATAACACCAACACAAGAAAAATAACAGCCTCCTGTCGTGTACCTAGTAAAAGAGATGGGGCTGTATGTATTAAGCATCTCAGAGTAGGAATACTGATCTAGGATCAATTGAGCCTTTTAGATCATAATGAATAAGATTAAATAGACAGGGGGGACCTGGTCCTAGATCAGCACCCCTACTCGTGAGACACTTGATACATATGGCTACAGACCACAGCTGCTTCCAAAAACACATCTTATCTCAAGAGGAAAGGAAACCAAGTGAAAAACACCCAAACCAACCTATAGTAGTAATAATAATCATAATATTCTTCGCACGTTGGTTGAGGTTCCTTATGAAAAAAGGGGATTGTCAATAAAAATGAGGCACACTGATCAACTCAGCCGTGAACTGTTTCTAAAGAGTAGCCATGTCACAGTCCCTCTCTCTCTCGCTCTCTCTCTCATAGAGTTTTGATCTGGATAAATAAAGGTTGAATAAAAACTAAAACAACTCGCCCTGGTCTTAGGCTTATGCTGAGGCGACCACATACAGTCAGTCCATCAGTAGTGGAATGGATATGGAAGATAAAATCAATAAAATCACTCATATTTGATTGTATTTAAACACATCTCATCTGCTCTGATCAACTCAAGTCACTGCATGACCTGATCAGACCTGGGTCACATGACCTGATCAGACCAGGTTCACATGACCTGATCAGACCTGGGTCACATGACCTGATCAGACCTGGGTCAAATATACTAATTAGCTTTCTGTGCCCAGCAAGCTAAATCAAGTGGACACCCCATGTTTAATGTCAGACGTTTCTCCTATTCTTTCCTCTAAGTGCTTTTCATCCCCAAATCTTTCCTTTCTCTGATAATGCTGTTAATCACTCGCTCATCTTCTCTTCCTCTCTTTTCTCTCTCGCTGCTCTCTCCTTCTCAGCTTTTTCTCTCCCGCATCTCTGTCACTGCTACTTATCATTATCTCGCTGCCACTCTCCTCCTCTCTTCCTCCCGCTCTCTGTCATCTGTCCGTCTGTTGTCACATCAAGTGAACTTGCTCTTCCCACTCCGTGCGTGATTGGTCCTCCACTACCCTGGGGGTGGGGCTTGAGTCTGTCTCAGTAGGAGTGAGGTTGTCATCTCCACAGTGTGTGTGTGAGTGTGTGTGTGTGTCCACTGCGTCCTGCGACAGGTCCGACACAAACCCCGTGACCACACACTCCACACACACCTCACCCTCACAACACTCCAGATCCAGAGTGCTGGGTCTTTTAACCTCCAGGCTGTCTACAGGGCAGGGGGAGCCAGCCTGTCCCCTACCTGGCCTCGCCCTCTCCCTCCTGGGCCTGCCGTAGCTCGGAAAGGGCCTCACCACTGAAACTGGCCTGGGTGTCAGGAGGGGAATCACTCTTTGGCTCCCCACCATCTTGGGGTGAAACAGTGGGTGAGTCTGTCTCTGTGTCCGGGGGTGAGTATTTCTCTGGGGGTGAGTCAGTCTCGGAGCTAGCTGAGGGGATAAGGGCGATGTTCTGGGGGCTGTCCTGGGGGTGTGTGTGTTGGATCCAGGCCATGATGTTGTCCAGGAGCAGGGCTTCAGCTGAGGGGTCCAGGTGCTCCAGGCAGGCCGGGTCACTGGGGGTGAAGGGACCTCCTGGAGGGACCACTGGGGAGAGGAGGAGGTCTGGGTCTGAGGTGTAGGAGGCAGTGCGGTCTGGGTCAGGATTCGAGGTGTGGTCTGGGTTAGGGGTGTAAGGGTTAGGGTTGTAAGGGTCTGGGTTAGGGGTGTAAGGGTCTGGGTTAGGGTTATAAGGGTCTGGGTTAGGGGTGTAAGGGTCTGGGTTAGGGGTGTAAGGGTCTGGGTTAGGGGTGTAAGGGTCTGGGTTAGGGGTGTAATGGTCTGGGTTAGGGGTGTAAGGGTCTGGGTTAGGGGTGTAAGGGTCTGGGTTAGGGGTGTAATGGTCTGGGTTAGGGGTGTAAGGGTCTGGGTTAGGGGTGTAAGGGTCTGGGTTAGGGGTGTAATGGTCTGGGTTAGGGGTGTAAGGGTCTGGGTTAGGGGTGTAAGGGTCTGGGTTAGGGGTGTAGTGGCTGGAGTGGCAGCAATGTTGGTGGTTGTGATCAGGATGTGTGTTCTGGGTGCAAGAGATGGTTTGGTCTGGTTCAGGGTTATGGGGAAGGCTAAACATAGCATATGGCTCTGGGTCTGAGGGGTAAAGGCTTGTGTGTTTAGGGCTAGAAGATGCTGTAAGGTCTGGGTGAGGAGGAGATGTTTTACTGTAGGGGCTGGGTTGGCAGTGAACAGAACTGTAAGAGGCATTGATAGTAGGATGGCCACGGTTTTGACCACAATTATGGTTGTGTTCTGGAGTGAAGGGAATGTTGATAGTAGTGTGGTCCTGGTTAAGGTCACAGGTGTGACCGTAGCCGTGTGTATAAGGTGTGGTGTGGTCAGGTTCCAGTACAGCATAGTTGTGGTCAGTTGTATAAGGTGTGTAGCCATGGTCCTGACTCTGACTGTATCTGGGGGAAGGGTTGTATTGGTCGTAGGTGTGGTCTAAGGTATATGGAGTAGTTATTTGTCCCAGTCTCATCAGACTTTCTCCTAGCTCTAACAGCTCAGCATTTAGCGACAGGTTAGGGTCTGGTCTGGGGAGGTTAGAGGAGCCACTGGCCCCCAGAGAACCACCCACACTGGAAGGGTCCTGAGTCTCACTGAGGCCCCCCACCCCTGGACCCATTACTGGCCCTATATCCAGACCCTGTCCAGACCCAAGCCCTGGGCCCTCAGTCACACAAGAGCCTCTCTCCAGTCCTCCTCCCATCCCTCTCTCCATCCCTCCCTCCATTTCTCTCTCCCTCCGTGAGTCCTGTAGTGACAGTTGGATGGCCAGTAGAATGTTGGGGTCATCTTCATCCAGTGACCTCAGAGGTTGTCTCCGCCCCTCAACTCTCTCCTGGAGGACCTCTGTCACACATAACAATAACAACACAACGAAAGGTCAAAGGTCAGAGAAACACAGGCCCTACTGATCCATGACTGTGTGTGTGTGTGTGTGTGTGCACGTGTACCTGTATTCTCAGTGTTCTGGTTGGGTTCAGGAGTGCTGCTGTTGCTCCTCAGACTGTGTAAACTCGGCATGTCTCCTCTACGACGCGGCCGGTGTCTCCGGCGGTACTGGAAATCTGCATACTCCTACAGGTAGTACATTATACAGGTCAGTCACATGGATGTTTGTGCTAAGATGGAGGATGTGGCTACAAATATGGACCTGTTGCCCAAATTGTCATAGAGAAACAGTATAAAAGCTTGACAATGGCGTTATGTGTAGTTACCTCAGGAGAGGTGAATCCCAGGTACTCCCAGTCCCATGATCCAGCAGGGAAACTGAAACACATTCAATATAGAGATTTGTAAAGAAAGGATTTGTAAATATTTGAGTATAAGCCAACCCTGATCTCTCTCTCTCTCTCTCTCTCTCTCACCTCCTCCTAGGTACTTCAGGTGAGTCGTTAGGGGCCACCCCTCTAGCCACCGAGGCCAGGAACTCCTCTCTCTTCTGCTGTACCAGACAGGCAGCGCTGACTATCTTATGACACGGCGTACGCAGGTAGGGACGGTTCACCTTCTGAGCCAAGTCCTCCACCGCCATCTCCAGATCAGTCTGGGGAACAGAAGGGGGAGGAGAAGGGAAGAGAGGGGGAGGGGGAGGAATTAATCTCACTCTCTCTACACACATACACGCACACATTTCATACACACCTGCATGAGTTCAAATATCTCCTTCTGTGTGCTGTGAGGCTGGAGGAAGAATCCGTAGGGGTAGGAACACTTCAACACACGACGCGTCTTCAACAACTCACACACACCGTCCTCTATAAATCTGGTGTCTGGGGGGGAGCCCTCATCTAGAGGAGAGACACACACACACACTGCTGTTAGAAACACACAAATACACACACACACACTGCAAACACCATTCGCAGGACACACCGTCCTCTAGAAGGGTTGTGTGAGGCAGGGACAGTCTCTGAGGTAGAAAGTAGAGTAAGGTAGGTCAGAGACTCACATCCAATGAAGGCTCTACTCAGCTGTTCCATCTTCTCTTTGGCTGTTTTCAATAGTCTCTGTTCTAACTAGAGAGAGAGAAAGAGAGAAAATAGAGGGGGGTAGAGAAAGAGAGAGAGCGAGAGGGATAGGGAGAGACATCACATTTTAGAAAACAACATTGGTAGATATCATAAATACGATAGCATGTCTGATATCATGCTGTGTGTGTGTTACCTTATAGCTGTGTTCATGGTTCTTATAGCGGGTGTAGTAGTGCATGAAGCGGTCCAACCCCTGAAAACTCTTGTGCTTCTTTTCTGCCTGAAAAACACACACACACACACTCCTGTCAAATTCTTAACGTAAAATGCCACAGTGTGTGCAGTGCTAGTGTGTGTGTCATGTGGTCTTGTTCTTCTATCCTCGTGGGTACCTGAAATCTGCAAATGTCCCCACAAGGATAGTAAAACAAGGAAAAGTCTCCCTCGAGGACAAAGACTATTTTAAGCTTAGGGTTAGGTTTAGGGTTAGAATTAGGGTTAGGCGTTAGGGAAAATCTGATTTTTACTGGAAATCTATTTTAGGTCCCAACAAGGATAGAAAAACAAGTGTGTGTGTGTGGTTATGTGTGAGTGTGTGGTTGTGTGTGTGTGTGTGGTTATGTGTGAGTGTGTGTACCTCTCCAGTCATCTCTTTGGACTGCTCCTCTAGCTGTGTGATAACTTCATAGCGTGTACAGCGGTAGTATCCTCCGGTTGAAGAGCTGTGTTTCTTCCACTCTTCCAGACAGATCCAGCAGAAGTCATATTTACACTGCAGACAGAGAAAGAGTTGTTTTCCATACATGGTTAATAACCCTGTCTTATTGCTTTAATATGGTGTCGCACAAGGTTCTATGCTGGGACTGCTTCAAAATCTTCCTCAATGACGAGAGCCTACAGGGAGGATGTGAGGGCTCTGGGAGTGTGGTGCCAGGAAAATAACCTCTCATTAAACGTCAACAAAACAAAGGAGATGATCGTGGACTTCAGGAAACAGCAGAGGGTGCACCCCCCTATCCACATCGACGGGACCGCAGTGGAGAAAGTAGAAAGCTTCAAGTTCCTTGGCGTACACATCACTGACAAACTGAAATGGTCCACCCACGCAGACAGTGTGGTGAAGAAGGCGCAACAGAGCCTCTTCAACCTCAGGAGGCTGAAGAAATTTGGCTTGGCACCTAAAACCCTCACAAACTTTTACAGATGCACAATTGAGAGCATCCTGTCGGGCTGTATCACCACCTGGTAGGCAACTGCACCGCCCGCAACCACAGGGCTCTCCAGAGGGTGGTGCGGTCTGCCGAACGCATTACCGGGGGCAAACTACCCGCCTTCCAGGACACCTACAGCACCCAATGTCACAGGAAGGCCAAAAAGATCATCAAGGACATCAACCACCCAAGCCACTGACTGTTCACCCTGCTATTATCCAGAGGGCGAGGTCAGTACAGGTTCATCAAAGCTGGGACAGAGAGAACGTAAAACAGCTTCTATCTCAAGGCCATCAGACTGTTAAATAGCCATCACTAGCACATTAGAGGCTGCTGCTGCCTATTGAAATCACTGGCCACTTTAAGAAATGGAACACTAGTCACTTCAATAATGTTTATATATCTTGCACTACTCATCTCATAAGTATATACTGCATTCTATTCTATAATATTCTTCTGTATCTTAGTCCATGCCGCTCTGTCATTGCTTGTCCATTTATTCTTAAATTCCATTCCTTACTTAGATTTGTGTGTATTGGGTATATGTTGTGAAATTGTTAGATATTACTTGTTAGATATTACTGCACTGTCGGAGCTAGAAGCACAAGCATTTCGCTACACCCGCAATAACATCTGCTAAACATGTGTATGTGACAAATAAAAATGTATTTGAATGCCATTAAAACGTAGCAAAGCTGGTGTGTGTGTGTGTGTGAGGTGTGTATATGTACCTTGGCACACTGCATGTGGTTGCAGCCCTCATTCTTCTGTATGGGAGACTTGCAGTTGGCACAGGGTTTAGAGTTGGTCAACAACCACAGACAGTTAGCTGCATCCTCATACGACTCCGATACACCTGCCACTGGATACACACACACATACAAACACATGCGCACATGCACACACACACATACCAGGATCAGCATATACAATCATGCGTTTATCATAACATACTGTACATCTGTGTGTGTATGTGTGCTCACACTCTTCTGGCTTCATCTCCGAGACTTTCTGCAGCCACATCCTCCATGTCTGACAGTCACATGGCTCATGGGCCTCACCTAGACACTCCCTGGAGAGAGAGGCAGAGAGAGGAAGAGAGAGAGAAGAAGAGGGGGGAGAGAGAGAGAGGAGAGAGACAGATGGAGGAAGAGAGAGAGAGAGAGGGTGTGAGAGAGAGAGAGAGAGAGAGAGAGAGAGAGGAGAGAGACATATGGAGGAAGAGAGAGAGAGGAAGGATTTTCTATTGGGTTCAGGTCTGGAGACTGGCTAGGCCACTCCAGGACCTTGAGATGCTTCTTACAGAGCCACTCCTTAGTTGCCCTGGCTGTGTGTTTCGGGTCGTTGTCATGCTGTAAGACCCAGCCACGACCCATCTTCAATGCTCTTACTGAGGGAAGGAGGTTGTTGGCCAAGATCTCGCGATACATGGCCCCATCCATCCTCCCCTCAATACGGTGCAGTCGTCCTGTCCCCTTTGCAGAAAAGCATCCCCAAAGAATGATGTTTCCACCTCCATGCTTCACGGTTGGGATGGTGTTCTTGGGGTTGTACTCATCCTTCTTCTTCCTCCAAACACGGCGAGTGGAGTTTAGACCACATGACCTTCTCCCATTCCTCCTCTGGATCATCCAAATGGTCATTGGCAAACTTCAGACGGGCCTGGACATGCGCTGAGTGGCGCAGTGGTCTAAGGCTGTGCCACTAGAGATCCTAGTTCGAATCCAGGCTCTGTCGTAGCCGGCCGTGACCATGGGGCGGCGCACAATTGGCCCAGCGTCGTCCAGGGTAGGGGAGGAAATGGCCGGCAGGGATGTAGCTCAGTTGGTAGAGCATGGCGTTTGCAACGCCAGGGTTGTGGGTTCGATTCCCACGGGGGGCCAGTATGAAATAAAAATAAATAATGTATGCACTCACTAACTGTAAGTCGCTCTGGATAAGAGCGTCTGCTAAATGACTAAAATGTAAAATGTTGAGCAGGGGGACCATGCGTGCGCTGCAGGATTTTAATCCATGACGGTGTGTTACTAATGGTTTTCTTTGAGACTGTGGTCCCAGCTCTCTTCAGGTCATTGACCAGGTCCTGCCGTGTAGTTCTGGGCTGATCCCTCACCTTCCTCATGATCATTGATGCCCCACGAGGTGAGATCTTACATGAAGCCCCAGACCGAGGGTGATTGACCGTCATCTTGAACTTCTTCCATTTTCTAATAATTGCGCCAACAATTGTTGCCTTCTCACCAAGCTGCTTGCCTATTGTCCTGTAGCCCATCCCAGCCTTGTGCAGGTCTACAATTTTATCCCTGATGTCCTTACACAGCTCTCTGGTCTTGGCCATTGTGGAGAGGTTGGAGTCTGTTTGATTGAGTGTGTGGACAGGTGTCTTTTATACAGGTAACGAGTTCAAACAGGTGCAGTTAATACAGGTAATGAGTGGAGAACAGGAGGGCTTCTTAAAGAAAAACTAACAGGTCTGTGAGAGCCGGAATTCTTACTGGTTGGTAGGTGATCAAATACTTATGTCATGCAATAAAATGCAAATGAATTACTTAAAAATCATACAATGTGATTTTTTGGATTTTTGTTTTAGATTCCGTCTCTCACAGTTGAAGTGTACCTATGATAAAAATTACAGACCTCTACATGCTTTGTAAGTAGGAAAACCTGCAATATCGGCAGTGTATCAAATACTTGTTCTCCCCACTGTATATATGAGATGAGTAAAGGAAAAATATGTAAACATTATTAGAGTGACTAGTGTTCCATTATTAAAGTCGCCAGTGATTTCAAGATTTCAAGTCTATGTATATGGGGCAGCAGCCTCTAAGGTACACCTGTATTTGGGGAATTTCTCCCATTCTTCTCTGCAGATCCTCTCAAGCTGCACAGCTATTTTAAGGTCTCTCCAGAGATGTCTGATTGGGTTCAAGTCGGGGCTCTGGCTGGGTCACTCAAGGACATTCCCGAAGCCACTCCTGCGTTGTCTTGGCTGTGCGCTTAGGGTGGTGGTCCTGTTGGAAGGTGAACCTTCGCCCCAGTCTGAGGTCCTGAGCGCTCTGGAGCAGGTTTTCATCAAGGATCTCTCTGTACTTTGCTCCGTTCATCTTTCCCTTGATCCTGACTAGTCTCCCAGACCCTGCCGCTGAAAAACATCCCCACAGCATGATGCTGCCACCACCATGCTTCACCGTAGGGATGGTGGCAGGTTTCCTCCAGACGTGTTGCTTGGCACTCAGACCAAAGAGTTCAATCTTGGCTTCATCAGACCAGAGAATCTTGTTTCTGAAGAATCAAACTTCTTCCATTTAAGAATGATGGAGGCCATTTTGTTCTTGGGGACCTTCAATGCTGCAGAAATGTTTTGGTACCCTTCCCCAGATCTGTGCCTCAACACAATCCTGTCTCTGAGCTCTACGGACAATTCCTTCGACCTCATGGCTTGGTTTTTGCTCTGACATGCACTGTCAACTGTGGGACAATTATTTATAGACAGGTGTGTGCCTTTCCAAATCATGTCCAATTGAATTTACCACAGGTGGACTCCAATCAAGTTGTAGAAACATCTCAAGGATGATCAACAGAAACAGAATGCACCTGAGCTCAATTTCGAGACTCATAGCAAAGGGTCTGAATACTTATGTAAATGTCATATGTCTGTTTTTAATTTTTAATAAATGTTCAAACACTTCTAAAAACCTGTTTTTGCTTTGTCATTATGGGGTATTGTGTGTAGATTGATGAGGAAAAACATTAATATAATACATTTTAGAATAAGGCTGTAACGTAACAAAATGTGGAAAAAGTAAACAGGTCTGAATACTTTCTGAATGCACTGTATCATTCTCAACGTTTGAGACTTTTCCCCATGAAAGGCACGAGGGAGAATTATCAATGAGAGAAAGGGATCGAGAGACTGATTACTTGACTGATGTGTGTGGATGCATGTCTGTCTGCCTGCATGTGTGTGCGCGTGTGTGTACCAGCAGAAGAGGTGTCCTTTGCCACAGTCGACAGCAGGGCAGGGCAGCAGGGGGAACCCCAGGTGGTTAACCCCCTGGACCAGGTCTAGTCAGTCTGACCGCTCTCTCACACCGCACCGCCGGACACCACCGGATAGACGGGTTGTTCTCCACGAACGCCTAGAGAGACACACACATGCAGAAAGATACACACACACCCAGGGAGGAGAGATATCAGAGATAAGATTCTTTGAGAGCGACATTGTGTGTGTGTGTGTGTGTGTGTGTGTATGTGTGTGCGCGCGCATGTGTGCGTGCCTTAATGTCGAACTGCAGGTATCGTTTGTCCATCTCTCTGGAGACAACACTCTCTATAACCTGAACAGGCACCAGCTGGTAACAGTCACAGGCAGGACAGAAGATGTTATGAGCCTCACCCTCCTGGATCTTCACATTCAGAAACCTGAAACAAATTACATTCAATTCAATAATTATTGGATCCACAGTCAAGCATTACATTGATATGGCTTGCTCTTGCCGTTTTACTGTACATTCCTCTGCCTTCCAGATTGTGTGTATTTTTTAATACAGTTTATACGTTTGTATTGTAATGTGTCGCGTAGGCCTGTGACAATACAATTTCCCTGTGAGGATCCATCATGTTTAATTACATTCAAACAGAGTAAGTGACGTACCCTTCCCAGCAGGCTCGGCAGAACTCATGGCCACAGGACATGTCTATTGGGTCTTCAAACACTGAGATGGAACACAGGCAGATCCCACACTGGAGGGGAAGAGACAGCCCCACACGGTCAGAGGTACAGTGTCTTCCATTCATCTCCCTCCCTAATACGCACCAAGTTGTATGCGCTCCTGAGATCCAGTTTTGTGAAGAAACGCGCTCCGTGTAATGATTCCGTCATACTCGCAATCAGAAGGAGTGGATAACTGTATTTCACAGTGATCTGATTGAGACTACGGTAATCAATACACGGGCGCAACCCTCCATCCTTTTTCTTCACAAAAAAGAAACTTGAGGACGCAGGGGAAGTGGAGGGCCGTATGTATCCCTGTCTCAGAGACTCGGCTATGTACAGTGGGGAAAAAAAGTATTTAGTCAGCCACCAATTGTGCAAGTTCTCCCACTTAAAAAGATGAGAGAGGCCTGTAATTTTCATCATAGGTACACGTCAACTATGACAGACAAAATGAGAAAAGAAAATCCAGAAAATCACATTGTAGGATTTGTAATGAATTTATTTGCAAATTATGGTGGAAAATAAGTATTTGGTCAATAACAAAACTTTTATATACCCTTTGTTGGCAATGACACAGGTCAAACGTTTTCTGTAAGTCTTCACAAGGTTTTCACACACTGTTGCTGGTATTTTGGCCCATTCCTCCATGCAGATCTCCTCTAGAGCAGTGATGTTTTGGGGCTGTCGCTGGGCAACACGGACTTTCAACTCCCTCCAAAGATTTTCTATGGGGGTTGAGATCTGGAGACTGGCTAGGCCACTCCAGGACCTTGAAATGCTTCTTACGAAGCCACTCCTTCGTTGCCCGGGCGGTGTGTTTGGGATCATTGTCATGCTGAAAGACCCAGCCACGTTTCATCTTCAATGCCCTTGCTGATGGAAGGAGGTTTTCACTCAAAATCTCACGATACATGGCCCCATTCATTCTTTCCTTTACACAGATAAGTCGTCCTGGTCCCTTTGCAGAAAAACAGCCCCAAAGCATGATGTTTCCAACCCCATGCTTCACAGTAGGTATAGTGTTCTTTGGATGCAACTCAGCATTCTTTGTCCTCCAAACACGACGAGTTGAGTTTTTACCAAAAAGTTCTATTTTGGTTTCATTTGACCATATGACATTCTCCCAATCCTCTTCTGGATCATCCAAATGCACTCTAGCAAACTTCAGACGGGCCTGGACATGTACTGGCTTAAGCAGGGGGACACGTCTGGCACTGCAGGATTTGAGTCCCTGGCGGAGTAGTGTGTTACTGATGGTAGGCTTTGTTACTTTGGTCCCAGCTCTCTGCAGGTCATTCACCAGGTCCCCCCGTGTGGTTCTGGGATTTTTGCTCACCATTCTTGTGATCATTTTGACCCCACGGGGTGAGATCTTGCATGGAGCCCCAGATCGAGGGAGATTGTCAGTGGCCTTGTATGTCTTCCATTTCCTAATAACTGCTCCCACAGTTGATTTCTTCAAACCAAGCTGCTTACCTATTGCAGATTCAGTCTTCCCAGCCTGGTGCAGGTCTACAATTTTGTTTCTGGTGTCCTTTGACAGCTCTTTGGTCTTGGCCATAGTGGAGTTTGGAGTGTGACTGTTTGAGGTTGTGGACAGGTGTCTTTTATACTGATAACAAGTTCAAACAGGTGCCATTAATACAGGTAACGAGTGGAGGACAGAGGAGTCTCTTAAAGAAGAAGTTACAGGTCTGTGAGAGCCAGAAATCTTGCTTGTTTGTAGGTGACCAAATACTTATTTTCCACCATCATTTGCAAATAAATTCATTAAATATCCTACAATGTGATTTTCTGGAATTTCTCAATTTGTCTGTCATAGTTGACGTGTACCTATGATGAAAATTACAGGCCTCTCTCATCTTTTTAAGTGGGAGAACTTGCACAATTGGTGGCTGACTAAATACTTTTTTTCCCCCACTGTATATACAGTCGTGGTCAAAAGTTTTGAGAATGACACAAGTATTGGTCTTCACAAAGTTTGCTGCTTCAGTGTTATGAGATATTTTTGTCAGATGTTACTATGGTATACTGAAGTATAATTACAAGCATTCCATAAGTGTCAAAGGCTTTTATTGACAATTACATTAAGTTTACGCAAAGAGTCAATATTTGCAATGTTGACCCTTCTTTTTCAAGACCTCTGCAATTCGCCCTGGCATGCTGTCAATTAACTTCTGGGCCACATCCTGACTGATGGCAGCCCATTCTTGCATAATCAATGCTTGGAGTTTGTCAGAATTTGTGGGTTTTTGTTTGTCCACCCGCCTCTCGAGGATCGACCACAAGTTCTCAATGGGATTAAGGTTTTCGATGTTTTGTTCCCCGAGCCACTTAGTTATCACTTTTGCCTTATGGCAAGGTGCTCCATCATGCTGGAAAAGGCATTGGTCATCACCAAACTGTTCTTGGATGGTTGGGAGAATTTGCTCTCGGAGGATGTGTTGGTACCATTCTTTATTCATGGCTGTGTTCTTAGGCAAAATTGTGAGTGAGCCCACTCCCTTGGCTGAGAAGCAACCCCACACATGAATGGTCTCAGGATGCTTAACTGTTGGCATGACACAGGACTGATGGTAGCGCTCACCTTGTCTTCTCCGGACAAGGTGTTTTCCGAATGCCCCAAACAATCGGAAAGGGAATTCATCAGAGAAAATGACTTTATCCCAGTCCTCAGCAGTCCAACCCCTGTACCTTTTGCAGAATATCAGTCTGTCCCTGATGTTTTTCCTGGAGAGAAGTGGCTTCTCTGCTGCCCTTCTTGACACCAGGCCATCCTCCAAAAGTATTCGCCTCACTGTGCGTGCAGATGCTCTCGCACCTGCCTGCTGCCATTCCTGAGCAAGCTCTGCACTGGTGGTGCCCCGATCCCGCAGCTGAATCAACTTTAGGAGACGGTCCTGGCGCTTGCTGGACTTTCTTGGGCGCCCTGACGCCTTCTTCACAACAATTGAACCTCTCTCCTTGAAGTTCTTGATGATCCGATAAATGGTTGATTTAGGTGCAATCGTACTAGCAGCAATATCCTTTCCTGTGAAGCCCTTTTTGTGTAAAGCTCACTAACTGTAAGTCGCTCTGGATAAGAGCGTCTGCTAAATCACTAAAATGTAAATGTTAACAGAGGAAGAACAATGATTTCAAGCACCACCCTCCTTTTAAAGCTTCCAGTCTGTTATTCTAACTCAATCAGCATGACAGAGTGATCTCCAGCCTTGTCCTCGTCAACACTCTCACCTGTGTTAACGAGAGAATCACTGACATGATGGCAGCTGGTCCTTTTGTGGCAGGGCTGAAATGCAGTGGAAATGTTTTTTGGGGATTAAGTTCATTTTCATGGCAAAGAGGGACTTTGTAATTAATTGCAATTCATCTGATCACTCTTCATGACATTCTGGAGTATATGCAAATTGCCATCATCAAAACTGAGGCAGCAGACTTTGTGAAAATTAGTATTTGTGTCATTCTCAAAACTTTTGACCAGGACTGTACTACATCACCGATTCGGCTCATAACTGGCTGGAACTCGGGACCTCTACTTTGCTAACACACGTGACTGCCCTCCTTGACAACGTTCCAATGGTTGGAGCTACCAAAAACGTACCAATTGGATGGGTCCATTCGCGACATTTCAAGCTAGCTGTGGAGTGAGCTTTCGGTACGTTCTTAACTCTGTTACACACGCACACAGGCAGCTAGGGCTTGATGACTGGTTGGTTAGTAGAATCAGGTGCGCTTGTGCTGGGGTAGAACAAAAATGTGCAACCTGTCCTGGACCAGAGTATCATGTGACTCACCGTTGCCCCTCCCTCCTCCCCTGGGGTGAGGCAGCTGTCAGTAGGAGAGGTGAGGGTGAGGGTGAGGGTGAGGGGGGAGCGAGGGTGCGGGGGGAAGGCAGGGTGTCCCAGGCGTTGCACCCGCTGGGCGGGGGGGTGGGCAGCAAGACCCCAGACCGCTGGCAGCACCCTTCAGAATCACTCATCCAGGCTTCCAACAGCTTCTCCCTGTCCCAGTCTGTTACACACAGAGATAGAGGGGTTAGAGCGAGACACACACTTTCAACAGCTCCTACACTTCCCAATTAGATACACAGAGACAGGTTACACACACACAAACACACATGAAACACACACACACATGAAAAGCGCACACACACCATGTGCTCTGAGCAGGGCCTCGGCGGTGAAGAGAGGAGCCTGTAGCATGTCAGCTGTCTCCACTATCAACATGTCCTTCAGTCTCCTCAAGTCCTGCAGCTTCAAACCCTCATAGGGCTGGGGATGAGAGGGGAGGGAGAGAGAAAGAGAGATGGGGGAGAGAGAGATTAAGAATTGAAAAAGCTGGGGGAAAAATAGATCATAAACCATATCAATATTCTGCAGCTGCTTGTCCCTCTGTGGTTACTTCTCACAGCAAATACATCTCTGATTTAAAGTGTGTGTGATTGATTTGACTGATTTAATTATTACAGTGTCTTGCATCCTCAAGATGACCAGCCCACATGGGCTTATAAGACACTGTATTTGCAGTAGCAAATATATATATATATACAGTGCCTTCAGAAAATATTCACACCCCTTGACTTTTTCCACATTTTATTGTGTTAAAGCCTGAATAAAAACATGGATTTAATTGAGATGTTGTGTCACTGCCCTACACACAATACCCCATAATGTCAAATATGAAACTTGTTTTTAGAAATGTTTAAAAAGTAATAAAAAATGAAAAGCTGAAATAATAATAATAAATAATATGCCATTTAGCAGATGCTTTTATCCAAAGCTACTTACAGTCATGCGTGCATACATTTTTACGTATGGGTGGTCCCGGGGATCGAACCCACTACCCTGGCGTTACAAGCGCCATGCTCTACCAATTGAGCTACAGAGGACCTTTTTGTCTTGAGTCAATAACTATTCAACCCCTTTGTTATGGCAAGCCTAAATAAGTTAATGAGTAAAAATGTGCTTAACAAGTCACATAATAAGTTGCATGGACTCACTCTGTGTGCAATAATAGTGTTTAACATGAATGACTACCCCATCTCTGTACCCCACACATACAATTATTGGTAGGTCCCTCAGTCGAGCAGTGAATTTCAAACACAGATTCAACCACAAAGACCAGGAAGGTTTTACAATGCCTTGCAAAGGAGGGCACCTATTTGTTGGTAGACATTGAATATCCCTTTGAGCATGGTGAAGTTATTAATTACACTTTGGAAGGAAACCGCTCAGGGATTTCACCATGAGGGCAATGGTGAGTTTAAAACAGTTACAGAGTTTAATGGCCGTAATAGGAGAAAACTGATGATGGATCAACAACATTGCCATTTAGGGTTAGTATTGTGGAGTAACTACAGAGTGAAAAGAAGGAAGCCTGTACATGATACAAATATTCAAAAACATGCATCCTGTTTGCAATAAGCCACTAAAGTAAAACAAAAAAATGTGGCAAAGAAATTAACTTTATGTCCTGAATACGTTTACGTCATTTAGCAGACACTCTTATCCAGAGCGACTTACAAATTGGTGCATTAACCTTATAGCCAGTGGGATAACCACTTTACAATGTTTTTTTTTTTTTTTTTGGGGGGGGGGGGGGGGGGGGGGGGGTGTAAGGGGGAGGTAGAAGGATTACTTTGTCCTATCCCAGGTATTCCTTAAAGAGGTGGGGTTTCAAGTGTCTCCGGAAGGTGGTGAGTGACTCCGCTGTCCTGGCGTCGTGAGGGAGCTTGTTCCACCATTGGGGTGAATACAAAGCATTACGTTTGGGACAAATCCAACACAACAAACACATCACTGACTACCACTCTTCATATTTTCAAGCATGGTGGTGGCTGCATTATGTTATGGGTATGCTTGTCATCGGCAAGGAATAGGGAGTTTTTTAGGATAAAAATAAACGGAATAGAGCTAAGCAAAGGCAAAATCCTAGAGAATCCTGGTTCAGTTGGCTTTCCAACAGACACTGGGAAACAAATTCACCTTTCAGCAAGACAATAACCTAAAACACAAGGCCAAATACAGTGGAGTTGTTTACCACGATGACATTGAATGTTCCTGAGTGGCCTAGTTACACTTTTGACTTAAATCGGCTTGAAAATCTATAGCAAGGCTTGAAAACGGCTGTCTAGCAATGATTAACAACCAACTTGACAGAGATTGAAGAATATTATACAATCCAGGTGTGCAAAACTCTGAGATACTTTTTTTTTTACAACCTTTACTCCCTAATTGCGTCATATCCAGTTGGTAGTTACAGTCTTGTCCCATTGCTGCAACTTCCGTACGGACTCGGGAGAGGCGAAGGTCGAGAAACACAACCCCGCCAAGCCGCACTGCTTCTTGACACAATGCATGCTTAACCCTGAAGCCAGCCGCACCAATGTGTCGGAGGAAACGCAGTACACCTGGCGACCGTGTCAGCGGGCATGCGCCCGGCCCGCCACAGGAGTCGCGACAGCGCGATGGGACAAGGACATCCCAGCCAGCCAAACCCTCCCCTAACCTGGACGACGCAGGGCCAATTGTGCGTCGCCTCATGGGTCTCCCGGTCGCGGCCGGCTGCGACACAGCCCGGTATCGAACCAGGATCTGTAGTAACGCAGCTTGCACTGCCTTACATGCTACCCAGACAAGTTGATTTTGTCCCCCCCACACCAGGCGCGATCAGCACACGCAGGTTGATATATCAAAATAAACTCTGAACCAATTATATTAATTTGGGGACAGGTCGAAAAGCATTAAACATTCATGGCAATTTAGCTAGCTAGCTAATTTGTCCTGGGATATAAACATTGGGTTGTTATTTTATCTGAAATGCACAAGGTCCTCTACTCTGAAAAGTTGATCCAAAAATAAAAAGGTAAAAGTTTGTTTTCTAGTAATCTCTCCTCCTTCAGGCTTCTTCTTCTTCTTTGGACTTTATATGGCGGTTGGCAACCAACTTTATGGTGCATTACCACAACCAACTGGACTGGAGCCTAGACCTCAGTTCATCTTCCAATCACCCACGTGGGTAGATGCTCCTAAAAACCAATGAGGAGATGGGAGAGGCAGGACTTGCAACGAGTTCAGCGTCACAAATAGAACCAAGTTATATTTTAGCGCCTGGCCACGCAAATGCTCGTTGACGCGTGCGAACAGTGTGGGTGCAATGATTGAATAACATGTGTACATTTATTTTGCAACGCTCGTGCACGAGACGCGTGCGGTGTGGTCAGCATGTTAGACCGCTGCACCACTCGGGAGGCCCAAGATCAAAAAGACTCACAAACTGTAATCGCTGCCAAAGGTGACTCAGGGGTGTGAATACTTATGTAAATGAGATATTTCTGTATTTCATTTTCAATACATTTGCCAACATTTATAAAAACATGTTTTCACTTTGTCATTATGGGGTATTGTGTGTAGATGTGTGAGAGAAAAAAATATATTTAATCCATTTTGAATTCAGGCTGTAACACAACAAAATGTGGAATAAGTCAAGGGGTATGAATACTTTCTGAAGGCACTATATATACACACATACTGTATGTAATAATAATAATAATAATAATAATAATAATAATAATAATAATAATATGCCATTTAGCAGACGCTTTTATCCAAAGCGACTTACAGTCATGCGTGCATACATTTTTTATGTATGGGTGGTCCCGGGGATCGAACCCACTACCTTGGCGTTACAATCTAGAATCGGCTTCCTATTTCGCAACAAAGCCTCCTTTACTCATGCTGCCAAACATGCCCTCGTAAAACTGACTATCCTACCGATCCTTGACTTCGGCGATGTCATTTACAAAATAGCCTCCAACACTCTACTCAGCAAATTGGATGTAGTCTATCACAGTGCCATCCGTTTTGTCTCCAAAGCCCCATACACTACCCACCACTGTGACCTGTACGCTCTTGTTGGCTGGTCCTCACTACATGTTCATCGTCAAACCCACTGGCTCCAGGCCATCTATAAATCATTGCTAGGCAAATCCCCGCCTTATCTTAGCTCATTGGTCACCATAGCAACACCCACCCGTAGTCTGCGCTCCAGCAGGTATATCTCACTGGTCATCCCCAAAGCCAACACCTCCTTTGGCCGCCATTCCTTCCAGTTCTCTGCTGCCAATGACTGGAACGAATTGCAAAAATCTCTGAAGCTGGAGACTCTTATCTCCCTCACTAACTTTAAGCATCAGTTGTCAGAGCACCTTACCGATCACTGCACCTGTACACAGCCCATCTGAAATTAGCCCACCCAACTACCTCATCCCTATTTTGTTATTTATTTTGCTCTTTTGCACCCCAGTATCTCTATTTGCACATAATCTCTTGCCCATCTAGCATTCAGGAGACTGAAAAGATTTGGCATGGGTCCTCAGATCCTCAAAAAATTCTACAGCTGCACCATCGAGAGCATCCTGACTGGTTGCATCACCGCCTGGTATGGCAACTGCTTGGCCTCCGACCGCAAGGCACTACAGAGGGTAGTGCGTACGGCCCAGTACATCACTGGGGCCAAGCTTCCTGCCATCCAGGACCTCTATACCAGGCGGTGTCAGAGGAAGGCCCTCAAAATTGTCAAAGACTCCAGCCACCCTAGTCATAGACTGTTCTCCCTGCTACCGCACAGCAAGCGGTACCGGAGTGCCAAGTCTAGGTCCAAAAGACTTCTCAACAGCTTCTACCCCCAAGCCATAAGACTCCTGAACAGCTAATCATGGCTACCCGGACTATTTGCACTGCCCCCCCCACCCCATCCTTTTTACGCTGCTGCTACTCTGTTAATTATTTATGCATAGTCACTTTAACTCTACCCACATGTACAAATTACTTCAACTATCTCAACTAGCCGGTGCCCCCGCACATTGACTCTGCACCGGTACCCCCCTGTATATATAGCCTCCCTACTGTTATTTTATTTTACTTCTGCTCTTTTTTTCTCAACACTTTTTTTGTTGTTGTTTTATTTTTACTTTTTTTGTTAAAAATAAATGTACTGTTGGTTAAGGGCTGTAAGTAAGCATTTCACTGTAATGTCTGCACCTGTTGTATTCGGCGCATGTGACCAATAAAATTTGATTTGATTTGATTTGATTCCAGTGTTAATACTAATTGTAATTATTTTGCACTATAGCCTATTTATTGCCTTACCTCCATAACTTGCTACATTTGCACACACTGTATATATATTTTTCTGTTGTATTTTTTGACTTTATGTTTTTTTACCCCATATGTAACTCTGTGTTGTTGTTTTTATCGCACTGCTTTGCTTTATCTTGGCCAGGTCGCAGTTGTAAATGAGAACTTGTTCTCAACTGGCTTACCTGGTTAAATAAAGGTGAAATAAAAAATAAATAAAAAACAAGCACCGTGCTCTACCAGCTGAGCTACAGAGGACCACATGTGGATTGTGTATATTCTGTATCTATATATCTTGTCCATATATTACGTTTTTTACTGTCTGATGTATATTGCTACGCCAGCGGTTGCTCTGTGTGCGTGCGTGTGTGTGTGTGTAACTCACCTCTTTGCGGTGCAGCGTGCTGCTGGGTGTCTGTGTCTCGGTGTGTGTGTGTTGTGAGAACACCATCATGGCTTCGAGGCGCAGGGCCAGATGTGTTTGCTGCTGTCTCTCTGCGTGGTCACACGGGGTTAACTTCTCCTCGTCCTCCACAAACAGGTCTGACCCGGCCTGGACCAGGAGCTAACATGCACACACACACACACACACAGGACAAGGGGGAGGCAAAGGGAAAGAGAGAGGGAGAGAGAAAGAGTTAAAAGATGGGAGTGAAGACACAAAAACACTATCATCCACATTCAACCTAATCCTCAGATCCAAACCAAAAAATTTTTTTTTTTTTTTAAATTTTTCCCCCCTTTTTTCCCCCCCCCCAAAAAAATTTTTTTTGGTTTTTTTTATTTCCCCTTTTTTTTTAAATTTTTTTTTTTTTTTTTTACCTTTTTTTAAAAAAAAAAACCCGGGGAAAATTTTTTTTTTTTTTTTTTTTTTTTGGGGCCGGTTTTTTTAAAAATTTTTTTTTTTTTGGGGGGAAAAAAAATTTTTTCCCCTTTTTTGGTTTTTAAAAAAAAATTTTTTAAAAAAAAACCCCTTTTTTTTTGGTTTTTTTTTTTTTTTTTTTTTTTTTTTTTTTTTGGGTTTTTTTCCTTTATGTTTTTTGGGGGGGGTTCCCCCCCTTTTTTTTTTTTTTCCCCCCCGGGGAAAAGGGGGTTTTTTTTTTGGGGGGGGGCCCCCGGGGGGAACCCGGGTTTTTTTTTTTTTTTTTCCCTTTTTTTTTTTTTTTAAAATTTTTCCCCCCCCGGGGGGTTTTTGGGCCCCCCAAAAAAAAAAAGGGGGGAAAGGGGGGGTGGGGGGGGGTTTTGGGGGGGGGGCCCCCCAAATTTTTTTTTAAAAAAATTTTTTCCCCCCCTTTTTTTTTTTTTTTTTTCCCCCCCCCTTTTTAAAAAACCCTTTTTTTTTTTTTTTTTAAAAATTTTTTTCCCTTTTCCCCCCCCCCCCCCCCCAAAAAAAAAAAATTTTTTTTAAAATTTTTCCCAAAAACTCCCCCCTTAACCCAAAACCCCCTTTTTTCCCCCCCCCCTTTTTTTTTTAAAATTTTTTTTTCCCCCCCCCCCCCCCTTTTTTCTTTCCCCTTTCTTCCCCCCCCCTCTTTCCCCCCCTTTTTCTCCCCTTTTTTTTTGTTTCTCTCTCTCCCTTCCCCCCCCCCCTTTTTTTTTTTTTTTCCCTTTTTTCCCCTTCCCCTTTTTCTTTTCCCCCCCCCCCTTTTCTCCCTTTTCCCCCCCCCCCCTTTTTTTTTCCCTTTTTTTCCCCCCCCCCCCCTTCCTTTTCTCTTCCCTTTTCCCCCCCCTTTTTTTTTTTTCCCCCCCTTTTTCCCCTTTTTTTTTTCCCCCCCTTTTTCCCCCCTTTCCCCCTTTTCCCCCTTTTTTTTTCCCCCTCTTTTCTTTCCCCCCTCTTTTTTTCCCTTTTTAAAAAACCCCCTTTTTTTTTTTACAGTTTTTCTCCTCTAACCCCCAAAATTTTTTTCTTCCCCTTAAAAATCTCCCCTCTTTTCCCCCAACCTTTTTCCCCCTTTTTTTTCCCCCCCTTTTAAAAAACCCCCCCCCCTTTTTTCCCTTTTTTTAAAAAAAATCCCTCCTTTTTTTTCCCCCGGGTTTTCCCCGGGCCCCCGGGCCCCCAACCCTTTTATTCCCGGGGTTTTTTTCCCCCCCCAAAAATTTTTTTTTCCCCTTTCCCCCCCCCTCCTTTTTCAAGTTTTTTTTAAAATTTTTTTAAAAAAACCCCCCCTCCAAATTTCCCCAAACCCCCTTTTTCCCTTTTTTTTTTTTTAAAAAAATTTTTTTTTAAAACCCCCAAAAAACCCCCTTTTTTTGGGGGGGGGGGTTTTTTTTTAAAAACCCCAAAACCCCAAAAAATTTTTTAAAACTTTTTTTTTTTTGGGGGGGGGCCCCCCCCCAAAAAGGGGGGGGGGGAAAAAAAAAACCCCCCACCCCAAAAATTTTTTTTTTAAAAAAAAAAACAAAAAAAAAAAGGGGGGGGGAAAAAAATCCCCTTTTTTCCCCCCCTTTTTTTTTTAAAAAAAATTTTTTTTTCCTTTTTTTAAAAAAAAAACAAAAAATTTTTTTTTTAAAAAAAAAAAAAAAGGGGGGGGAAAAAGGGGTTAAAAAAAAAAAAAACCCCCCCCCCTTTCCCCCCCTTTTTTTAAAACCCTTTTTTTTTCCCCCCCCCCCTTTTTCTTTTTGGCCCCCCCCTTTCTTTCCCCCGGGTTTTTTCCCCCAAAAAAAAAAAAATTTTTTTTAAAAAAAAAAAAAAAAAAAAAAAAAGGGGGTTTTTCCCCCTTTTCCCAAAACCCCCCCGGGGGGGGGGGGGGGCCCCCCCCGGGGGGGGGGGCTCTTTTTGGGCCAAAAACCCCCCCCTAAAACCCGGGGGGGGGAGGGGGGGGGAAAGGGGGGGGAAAAAAGGAAAAAAAATTAAAAAAAAAAGGGGGGGGGGGAAGGGGGAAAAAAAAAAATTTTTCCCCGGGGGGGGGGGGGGGGGGGGGGGGGGGGGGGTTTTAAAAAAAGGGGGGGGGGGGGGGTTGGGGACGGGGGGGGGGGGGAAAAAAAGGGGGGGTTTGGGGGGGGGGGAAAAAATTTGGGGGGTTTTTGGGGGGGGGGAAAAAAAAAAAAAAAAAATTTTTGGGGGGGAAAAAAAAGGGGGGAAAAAAAAGGGGGGAAAAAGGGGAAAAATTTTTTTAAAAAACAAAAAAGGGGGGGAAAAATTTTAAAAAAAGGGGGGGTGGAAAATTTTTAAAATTGGGGGGGAAAACCCCGGGGGGGGCCCCTTTTAAAAAAAAAAAAAAAAAACCCAAAAAAGGGGCCCCCCCGGAAAACCCCGGGGGAAAACCCCCCCGGGGGGGGGAAAAAAAAAAAAAAGGGGAAAAAAAAAGGGGGGGGAAAAAAAAAAAAAAACCCCCCGGGGGGCAAAAAAAAAGGGGAAAGGGGGGAAAAAAAAAAAAGGGGGGGAAAAAAGAAATTTGGGGGGAAAGGGGAAAAAAATAAAAGGGGAAAAACCCCCCCCCCAAAGTATCCTCCCTCTTACCTTACACAGATCTCTCTCTCTCTCCAAAAATCTTTACCTCTACACAGTATCTCTCTCTCTCTCTCTTACCTCTACACAGTATCTCCTCTCTCTCTTACCTCTACACAGTACTATATCTCTCTCTTACCTCTACACAGTATCTCTCTCTCTCTCTTACCTCAACACAGTATCTCTCTCTCTTACCTCTACACAGTATCTCTCTCTCTCTCTTACCTCTACACAGTATCTCTCTCTCTCTCTCTACCTCTACACAGTATCTCTCTCTCTCTCTTACCTCTACACAGTATCTCTCTCTCTCTCTTACCTCTACACAGCTCTTCATGCCAGCAGCAGCAGCGTAGTGTAGACAGGTGCTGTTCCTGTTGTCTGTAGCGTTAATGTTAACCCTCTCATACTGTCCTCTGTCCAGCCTAGCCCCGGTCCAGCTCAGGATCATCTGGACACACACACACACACACAATATCGTTAGCCCTCTAATGTATTTGAGTGTGTGTTCTTTGTGTGTGTGTGTGTGTGTGTGTGTGTGTGTGCGTGTGTCTGTGTGTCTATACCTGTAGGCAGTCTGCCCTGCGTTGTTCGTCTCTCTGTGGTCTGGCCAGTCTGTGAGACAGTGCCCCCTCTGGCAGCAGCAGGATGTGCGCTCCCTGACACAACGCATGCAGACACGTCTCATTCTGCACGTTACGCTTGTTAGGGTTCCCTTCTTTACTGAAAAGGAACGACCTGGAGGGGGGGAGAGAGAATAAGAGAGAGAGAGGGAAAAGAAGAGAGGGAAAAACACACAGGTTGACCATCTTTACAGAAGAGGAACCATCCTTTCATAGTGTATTTTAAAAGCAGAGTGGACAGATGACAGACATTCCAGTTCCAAGTCAACATTATGCTGGGGCTGCAGTTTATATTCTACATCTCTGTCTGTCTACAGATCCATTTACTGATTACCCCCCCTTCATCCTCTACTACCTCTCTCCTCTCCACATCCCTCTCTCCTCTTCCCATCCCCCTCTCCTCTTCCTCCACCTCACTGCTCTCTGCTCTCCCTCCCCTCTGCTGACTCTGTGAGAAACAGTATTTATCACACAGCAATAACCACTGTAGCAATTATCGCATAATCGAATGACACACAGGCAGAAAGACAGACTGACATACAGTCTGCTAAGTGCACATCAGATAAGCGCACACTTTGGTCAAGTGCACTCAACCAGATGGCTGAAGGGAAGAGTAATTTGGTAGGCAGGAAGGCACCGAAATAGACCTGCAGTTAGCAAACTGGCCTTTAACACACACACACACACAATTAGCTGGCCTTTTCAAACCGCTTCCTCTGACCCCTGTAATCACCCAGAGAGAGAAAAGGAGGAGGGGAGGATGAGTGAAAGGAAGATAAAGAAAATAGGCTCATTGACAGCCTGTCATCTCCTCCCAGGGGTCAAACTGCTAACACACTGGAACTCTCTCTTATTCCCTCTCCCTTTCTCACTCCATCGCTCCCTGTATCCCTGGAACATATCTAGGGGGTGTTACCTGAGCAGGTGTGTCCTGGCGTGCCGACAGGTGTAATGTAGGTGTGTGTTACCTGAGCAGGCGTGTCATGGCGTGCCTGCAGGTGTAGTGGAGGGGTGTGTTGTGTTGGTAGGTTTCTCCGTAGGACGCGTTGGGGTCCAGCCCCTCCCTGAACTGGCTGTTGCCCTCGTACAGTTGCCATGCCAATGCCTCGTCCCCGCTGACTAAAGCCTTCCGGAACTTAGTGGCTGTATTCCCCATCACTGCCCTACAGGGGGCGTCGCACTGGAATCATTCAGCACAATTAATCATCTTTATCATTCAAAATGTATGTATATGTGTGTTTTAATAACATATATGTAATAATACAATACTTCATGTAATAATTAATAATTAATTTTAATCTTTGATAATGATAAACACTTACCTCCGCTATTCAGTCCTCACCTCCTCTTCCTCTCCTACTCCACTCACAGCTCAGACATGGCCCACACCCTCACCCTGCAGAGAGAGGGGGAAGAGAGTGAGAAAGAGAGAGAGAGAGGGGAGGGGGGTCAATTAACCAATCAACTAATCTATCCATCTATGAAACATCCAAAATGAGTAGGGCTAATATTAATCACTATGTCTACTATATAAGCTATATACAGTCTCTGGATCCACAGAGACTGTATATTCCACCATTTTCTGCTCCAATAAGTCTGCTGTAGACAGGGTGTGTGTGTGTGTGGGGGGGGGGGGGGGGGGGGGGGGGGCTACTGATAGTTTATAGGTCACGCTGTCTGCTCTACTCTCAGCTCCACACAGCTTCAGTTGCTTCCAGCACACTTCACCTCCCTCTCTCCCCTCTCTCTGTTTCTGTCTCTCTCTCCATCTTCATCTTCTCTCTATCCATCTCCCTCTCGCTCTGACTTCTTATGTCAACAGCATTACAGCATCCTCAAAGCAATTACCACAGTTTTCCATTGACAAAAAATATCAACCATAACAACCACCGGCTTTAGGTGGCATGTTGTGTTTATAACAAACAGCTTGTGTTTATAACACATAGCTTCATAATACAGAATGTATGACACACAAAGTGTTTATAAGCTTATTACAATGAAGTTGGCTAAAGACAATTAAGTAGCCAGCCAGCTACTTACATTTTCACACCATGGAAGATATACCAAGAACAATACACAGTGTGAAAGTGTCAGACTCAAGACAAAGAGAAGTTAACAGGCTAGTGTGCATAGAGTCTGTCACCCTGACTTATCTAACGTACTGTAGCGAGCTATATCGTTGTCTGTCCACCGGTCATATAGCCTACGGCTATACCATTAACTTTGGCTAGTTGCTTTATTTGGTGCTATCTGGCACTTTCACCAGGTCAGTATGGACAGACTCGCTCACTTGTTCGCTAGCTACGATCTAGCCATTCATGACTAGCTAACAATAATAGCTAGTCATAGCTACATGGCTAGCTACCACCGTTCTCCTAGCTAGCTGGCTAGCTACATCTGGCTGACGTGAATGTCTGTAGTTAAACGCGATGCCAAGTTATGCTGGTTCAAGCTGATGCCAGGGCTGTGGTTTATTTTAACAGCTAGAGTCTGTCTTGGTGGACCTCTCAATTCAGCCTTGTCAAATCATTATCATTCTAGATACTTAGCTACAACTGGCTAACAGCTAGCTAACTAATGATACAGCAGTGGCAGCATCTAGCTGATAGCTAACACCCATCATTAGCTACTTACAACATCGACTCACTTGGTCACCAGTCGGACATACAAAAACTCATAATACCGCTATTTCATAATTTTCCTTCTCGACTCCCTACCATCATCTCCTTCTTTCTTTCTCTCTCCAATCTCAGTTCTTCTGAGTGATGATGCGAGATGCTGCTGTTTCTGTTGTTGCTGGCAGGAAGAGGCATCATACGCATGAGCAGCACAAGCTGTCACTGGCCACTTACACCTGATTGTTCAATAAATCTCTGTCTCCTTGTCTCCTCTTTATCAGAGATGGTTAGAAAGGTTGTTAAAAAAAAAGTGCCTCAAACTTGTCCATACCATTCAAATTTGCAATCTCTAGAAGTAAAAAACACTAAAAGCACATGAAAGTCTTCCGATTTTGTTTATTACATTTTACATTTTAGTCATTTAGCAGACGCTCTTATCCAGAGCAACTTACAGTTAGTGAGTGCATACATTTTCACACTTGTGTACTTATCAAAATATAGCCTTGCTGCATGGCTCCAGTTTACAAAGTGGGGGGAAATCTGGGTAGTACATTAGCAAAACCTTACACAACAGAAAACAAAAACAAGTATTTCTTATTGGACAAGTTCAGGTAGTCCCTTCACATTCATTACTAGTAAATACGACCCTGGAGAGGGGAAACAGCACACATAATACATAATACATGTTTATTACACAACTCCAAAGTCCATAGCACAACATTATAGATAGTGCTGTTTTTAATATTTTTACAACGAATTCTAGACAGCATTAGGCTACGTGCCCCTTTCTCTATCTCTCCTCTACTCTTCTTGACAGCAGATGCCCAGTCGGCAGGCTTCACACAGGGCTTTCTCATGGGGCCTCTTCCACACCTTCTCTGATCCCTCTGACTCTTCCTCCTCCTCCTCTTCCTCCTCCTCCTTGTCCTCCTCTCCATAGCAGTTCTTCCTAATCTTTCCAAACAGCCGGAGCAGTGCCTCTTCTACCTCATTCTTGGAAAAGCCTGGAAGTTCAAACTCTGCCTGGCAGCGTCTGCATGCCTGGCCGAAAGGCCGCATCAGCACGGTCCCCCGGCCTGTCTCATCCCGCAGCCGATAATGGAACATTACTATCACCCGTGCCGACGGCCATGTCTTAGAACACTCACCACACTGGAACCTGAGGAAGAGAGTTAAAGGGGGAGAGAGAGAGGGGGGGGGGGGGGGGGGGGGTGAGCATTACAACGACAGCTATCCGAGTTTCCATCTAAATGTTATTTTACTGGCATGGAGTTCCATCATGTCCAAGTCAACAGAAGGAGTTGAAGACAAGTGATCTGTTTCCACATGGTGGCGCTGCAGTGCCAATCTTCTAAATCTGTGAGCTGCTGAGCTCTTTGTGGAGCCATATCGGGGCAAATCCATAGAGATTGATAGAGGACTCATCTTTGTACCTGTGCCATTATAGCGCCATTGAGGCTATCTCCATTTTAAGGTAGTACATTTTCTTCACGATTGGCTAGGTTTCTGTATAAGCACTTTGTGACATCTGCTAATGTAAAAAGGGCTTTACAAATACATTTGATTCGATTAATTGATTGATCCCTCCTGATGACCCAGTTGGACATGACTCCAACAGGGTAGAGCTCTGCTTCCCGACCCGAGCCGGACGGGCCCCGACATTATACATCAGGTTAGGGCCGTGTAGGGCCTGTTTTTTCATCAATAACTAGGGTATGGGTAGGGCTCGGGTATCACTAAATTGTTCATTAACATTTTGAAGCTGAGCCATTTGCTCGTGCTCTGCTGCGTAGTATAGTCATATATGACAAAGATGGTGTCAGAAGTGCTTCAACCTCGTCAAATATAACACATGAGAGATCATTTCACAGAAAATAATAATGTTCCTTGATTTTTGTTGGATTTTAGAGTGACGAAAAGTAGCTAACAGCTCACTGCTCTCTCCTCTCGTCATTGAGCAGAGCAGCCTAAGCGGAGCCGTTGCTATGACTCCAGAGTGCCAGAGTGCACTCTGGGTCGTTTGTAAATTCAGAGGGTTGTCAGATTGTCTGTCAGTAAATTTGGAACTTTCGCTCTCAGAGCGTTCAGAGCGCACATTGGACGCTCTGGATGAGGAGTAGGGTTGATCCGAGCGTTCTGACCTCACAACCGCAGTCAAGCCCCTAAGCTAACTGGCAAAATTTCGCACTCGCTTGCTAGCTACTTCCAGACACAAATGAGAGAACACTCACACTGGCCATTTTACTCACCCTAGCAGAGCTGGTTAAGCTGTTTTCATGTTTTCTATAGCGTTAGTGACTGTAACTGTGCTGCTGGCAACAATTTAATTATGTTTTTTTGCCGATGTTTAATGACACCGGTCATATTCAATGGGTGTTGTGCTTCGTAAATTCATCAGTTATTCTGCGCTCTGGTACACTCAGACCAGAGTACTCTGAAATCGGAGTAGATAGCCAGAGTGAATTTACAAACGCACCAGAGCCACCATGAGCAGAGTGCATGCAGAGCGAGCTGCCTGCGTGCAGGCAGCGAGTGACAGACAGAGAGGAACAGCTAATGGATTTACTAATGGAGGAAGTTATCTCTGATTTCGGGTTTTGGGCAGGGCCAGGCTTTAAATTTGGCAAAAGCAATCGGGCCTGGGTAGAGCAGGGCCTGAATGTCACAGGCATGGGTAGGAATCGGGCTTAAAATTAATGCACGTGTAGCGATCTATAACAGGGTCACCAGGAGGGATCAGCCAATGAAGTTGGAAGTCCTACCCAGTTGACTACATTAAAATTATGGAAGCCCTCTAAGGCGCTGCCCATGCTAATATGGCCTTTTGGCCACTAGAGGCCCCTATCATTCTCTATGGGCAAATCACAGGCCTATACATAAAAAGCATAAATATAATTATAGTAAGGGAAAAACGTACTGTCCGTAGGCACAGTGGCTGTACACCCGCCATCTTCTCCTCCTCTCCTCCTTGGTGAGTGTTTCTGTCAGGCCGTAGTTGAAGTGGAAGGCCCACTGGTCACTGCTGTCCAGCTCCTCATCCAACATCTCCTCAAAACACTCTGACCACAGGGTGGGCGTCCAGTCTGGGCAACACACACACAAACACGCACACATGCACACACACATCCACACACACACACACACACACACACACACACACACACACACACACACACACACACACACACACACACACAGATCAGGACTGGTCAGAAAGTGCAGCTGGGGCTTATTAAATAACTTTCCAGATTAATGCACGTTTGTATTTGTATTTATTATGGATCCCCATTAGCTGCTGCCAAGGCAGCAGCTACTCTTCCTGAGGTCCAGCAAAATTAAGGCAGTTATACATTTTAAAAACATTACAATACATTCATAACAGATTTCACAACATATTAAGTGTGTGCCCTCAGGCCTCTACTCTACTACCACATATCTATAATACAAAATCTATGTGTACATGTGTGTATAGTGCGTATGTTATCGTGTGTTTGTATGCATATGTCTATGTTTGTGTTGCTTCACAGTCCCCACATGTTCCCTTATCTGTTTTTTAAATCTATTTTTACTGCTGGCATGAGTTACTTGATGTGGAATAGAGTTCCATGTAGTCATGGCTCTATGTAGTACTGTGCGCCTCCCATTGTCTGTTCTTGACTTGGGGACTGTGAAGAGACCTCTGGTGGCATGTCTTGTGGGGTATGCATGGGTGTCCGAGCTGTGTGCCAGTTGTTCAAACAGACAGCATTCAACATCAACCTCTCACAAATACAAGTAGTGATGAAGTCAATCTCTCCTCCACTTTGAGCCAGGAGAGATTGACATGCATATTATTCATGTTAGCTCTCTGTGTACATCCAAGGGCCAGCCGTGCTGCCCTGTTCTGAGCCAATTGCAATTTTCCTAAGTCCCTCTTTGTGGCACCTGACCACACGACTGAACAGTAGTCCAGGTGCAACAAAACTAGGGCCTGTAGGACCTGCCTTGTTGATAGTGCTGTTAAAAATGCAGAACAGCGCTTTATTATAGACAGACTTCTCCCCATCTTAACTACTGTTGTATCAATAGGTTTTGACCATGACAGTTTACAAACCATGGTTACTCCAAGCAATTTAGTCTCTTCAACTTCCTCAATTTCCACATTATTCATTACAAGATTTAGTTGAGGTTTAGTGAATGATTTGTCCCAAACACAATGCTTTTAGTTTTTGAAATATTTAGGACTAACACCCTCTGTGTTATGTTAGACAGGTAACTCTTTATCCACAATATAGCAGGGGGTGTAAAGCCATAACACACACGTTTTTCCAGCAACAGACTATGATCGATAATGTCAAAAGCCACACTGAAGTCTAACAAAACAGCCCCCACAATCTTTTTATCATCAATTTCTCTCAGCCAATCATCAGTCATTTGTGTAAGTGCTGTGCTTGTTGAATGTCCCTCCCTATAGGCGTGCTGAAAGTCTGTTGTCAATGTGTTTACTGTAAAATAGCATTTTATCTGGTCAAACACAATTTTCCCCCAAAGTTTACTAAGGGTTGGTAACAGGCTGATTGGTTGGCTATTTGAGCCAGTTAAGGGGGCTTTACTATTCTTAGGTAGCGGAATGACTTTTGCTTCCCTCCAGGCCTGAGGGCACACACTTTCTAGTAGGCTTAAATTGAAGATATGGGAAATAGGAGCGGCAATATCGTCCGCTATTATCCTCAGTAATTTTCCATCCAAGTTGTCAGACCCCGGTGGCTTGTCATTGTTGATCGACAATAATACTTTTTTCACCTCTTCCACATTTACTTTACGGAATTCAAAATTACAATGCTTGTCTTTCATAATTTGGTCAGATATACACTACCGGTCAAAAGTTTTAGAACACCTACTCATTCAAAGGTTTTTCTTTATTTTTACTATTTTCTACATTGTAGAATAATAGTGAAGACATCAAAACTATGAAATAACACATATGGAATCATGTAGTAAGCAGAAAAGTGTTAAACAAATCAAAATATATTTTATATTTCAGATTCTTCAAATAGCCACCCTTTGCCTTGATGACAATGTACATGTAAATGACAGCTTTGCACACTCTTGGCATTCTCTCAACCAGCTTCACCTGGAATGCTTTTCCAACAGTCTTGAAGAAGTTCCCACATATGCTGAGCACTTGTTGGCTGCTTTTCCTTCACTCTGCCGTCCGACTCATCCCAAACCAATTGTGTTGAGATTGGGGGATTGTGGAGGCCAGGTCATCTGATGCGGCACTCTCCTTCTTTTTAAAAAGTCCTTACACAGCCTGGAGGTGTGTTGGGTCATTGTCCTGTTGAAAAACAAATGATAGTCCCACTAAGCCCAAACCAGATGGCATGGCGTATCGCTGCAGAATGCTGTGGTAGCCATGCTGGTTAAGTGTGCCTTGAATTCTAAATAAATCACAGACAGTGTCACTAGCAATGCACCCCCACACCATAACACCTCCTCCTCCATGCTTTATGGTGGGAACTACACATCATCCGTTCACCCACACCGCATCTCACAAAGACACGGCGGTTGGAACCAAAAATCTCAAATTTGGACTCCAGACCAAAGGACACATATCCACCGGTCTAATTTCCATTGCTCGTGTTTCTTGGCCCAAGCAAGTCTCTTCTTCTTATTGGTGTCCTTTAGTAGTGGTTTCTTTGCAGCAATTCGACCATGAAGGCCTGATTCACACAGTCTCTCCTGAACAGTTGATGTTGAGATGTGTCTGTCACTTGAACTCTGTGAAGCATTTATTTGGGCTGCAATTTCTGAGGCTGGTAACTCTAATGAATTTATCCTCTGCAGCAGAGGTAACTCTGGGTCTTCCATTCCTGTGGCGGTCCTCATGAGAGCCAGTTTCATCATAGCGCTTGATGGTTTTTGCGACTGCACTTGAAGAAACTTTAAAAGTTCTTGACATTTTCCGTATTGACTGACCTTCATGTCTTAAAGTAATGATGGACTGTCGTTTCTCTTTGCTTATTCGAGCTGTTCTTGCCATAATATGGACGAGGTGGTGGCTCAGTAGACCAGCGAATCAGAGTGCCGAGGGGAGCAATGGGAGGAGACGTGAAAAGCTGTTCTTGCCATTATATGAACTTGGTCTTTTACCAAATAGGGCTATCTTCTGTATACCCCCCCCCCCCCCCCCCCCCCCCCCCACCTTGTCACAACACAACTGATTGGCTCAAACGCATTAAGAAGGAAAGAAATTCCACAAATTAACTTTTAAGAAGGCACACCTGTTATTTGAAATCCATTCCAGGTGACTACCTCATGAAGCTGGTTGAGAGAATGCCAAGAGTGTGCAAAGCTGTCATCAAGGCAAAGGGTGGCTACTTTGAAGAATCTCAAATATATTTTGATTTGTTTAACACTTTTTTGGTTACTACATGATTCCATATGTGTTATTTCATACTTACAATGTAGAAAATAGTAAAAAACTTTTGGCCGGTAGTGTACTTGGATGTGTAGTGTCAGCGTTTGTTGCTGGCATGTCATGCCTAAATTTGCTAATCTTGCCAATGAAAAAATCATTAAAGTAGTTGCCAATATCAGCTTTTTACTATAATTCTTTATGTCATTTATCTTTGTTTCATAGCGTAGTTTCTTCTTCTTTTTATTCAGTTTAGTCACACAATTTCTCAATTTGCAGTACGTTTGCCAATCGTTTGTACAGCCAATCCCTCTCAACCATACCATTTTTCAAGTCCTCATCAATTCATGGGGATTTAACAGTTTTTACAGTCATTTTCTTAATGGGTGCATGCTTATTAGTAACTGGGATAAGCAATTTCATAAATGTGTCAAGTGCAGAGTCTGGTTGCTCATCATTACACACCACGGATCAACAAATATTATTCACATCAACAACATAGGAATCACTACAAAACTTATTGTATGACCTCTTATACACAATATTAGGCCCAGCCTTTGGAACTTTGGTTTTCCTAGATATGGCTACTATATTGTGTGTAACTACATCCGATGGATTTGGATAATGCTTTCAAATACATTTCTGCAGCATTAGAAAATATATGATCAATACATGTTGATGATTTCATTCCTGTACTGTTTGTAACTACCCTGGTAGGTTGATTATAGTCCCCTGTAGCTCAGTTGGTAGAGCATGGCGCTTGCAACGCCAGGGTTGTGGGTTCGTTTCCCACGGGGGGCCAGTATGAAAATGTATGCACTCACTAACTGTAAGTCGCTCTGGATAAGAGCGTCTGCTAAATGACTAAAATGTTGATTGATAACCTGAACCAGGTTGCATGCATTAGTTACAGTTATGTAAATAAACAAACAAAATCTATTATGTAAATAAACAAACAAAACCTACATAACAGGATAAAATAAACAAAGTCACTTAAAAGTATTCATTGCCTACCTGTACTCATGGTCCTCAATGTTGGAGAACAAATGTTGAAGAACAAATGAACAAAACGCTGTTGAAGAACAAATGACCTGTTTGTGTTGTTATATTGCTCGGTATGAGCTGGGAATATTTATACGGTCCCGGGTGCTATGGCCTTGACGTTGGGATTTGGAAACTGACATTTACGGTCTACTTTCGCTGAGGATATGTATACGGTCCCGGGTGCTATTGCTCTGACGTTGGGATTTGGAAACCGAAACTTACCGTCTACTTTCACTTTTTGCCGGCCTAGTCCTTGGCATGCTGCCCACAGTACGCTGTCTCCCATTGTCATTGAGCCCAACTGAAGACCAGCACTCTAGGGACAAACAAAGGCTCTGTCACATTATGTCATGTTCACCGACAGGTAGGCCATTAAGACAAGCATGATCCTGACCACTGCCATTTTTTACCAGTTGAACATTTGCTAGATACAGATAATTGTTGCCCAACATAAAATTATTATAGCAAAACAAGGCTCCTAGATGATAAAGTAATCTCTAAATAGACTTAACTGTCGGTTTAGTGTGTTACTCAAATAATTTCTGGGTAACAACAAAGTTACTATAATGCTTTCAGTTACAATGGTCAAGAAACAAATAGAACTTTTCTGTGAACCATGGTGTGTTTTTATATATACTGAACTAAAATATAAACGCAACATGCAACAATTTCA